AGATACTCGTATAGGCTAAACTTCGTCCTGAAAGCTGTTTTCCATTCATCTCCTTCCTTAACTCGTATTAAGTTGTAAGCTCCCTTAAGATCTAGCGCGGTGAACTACTATTTGCCTTATAACTAGTCTCTAAGTTCTGTAATTAGCAGTAAAGGTGTCCTATCTTTGCGTGTGATTTTATTAAGCTATCGGTAGTCTACAACAAGTTATAGTTTCCCGTTCTTTTTTAGTACGAATATCATAGGGTATCCTGCGGATAAAGTTAATAGTTATATATAGCCTTTCGCTAACATATCGTCGATGTATTCACGGAGTGTCTATAGCTGGGGTTCTATAAGGTTATATAGCTTATGAAAAGCTGGTTCTCCTTCGTCGATGATGGAGATCTCGTGGTCCTACTAGCTGTGTTCTGGTAATCTAGTGTCAAGAGTCTCCTTGAATAGCTTTTTATAGGCGTGATATTCCTAGGGAATATAGTCCATTCGTCTATCCCTTATTATCGCCTTTATCACCTATTTACTATAGGCTTCCTTGTCCCACAGATGGTTTTTTGCGTTGTATTCCCTTTTCTGGGAGTTGGTTATTTATGCCTAATCTATAAAGTCTATTCCATCGTGTTTTTTATTGGTGTTTATAGGGGTTATTTCTTCCTGGAGTTTCTGTTGTTGTTTCTCCTTGTCCCTTCGATACTAACCTTCGAAATCAGGTGTAGGTTCCTTTTCTTGTTTCCGTATTCAGGCTAATGTTCTTATCGTGCGTTATAATTCCTGATGAGACATTTTCTTTATTGTACTAGGTTGTGGCGCTATCGAGGCTGTGACCACTATATCCACTTACTATGTTAAGTCGCTGTCTTCTGTTTTTATAGTGGTGCCTTCAGTTACTAGAGAGTCATCATACTCTTCTAGTACCTGATGAAATTTCGGTTTCCTTTGATCCTAGTGTTAGTACATAAGAGTGTCCCTCCACTCTATGCGGCCGGTGTACTAATTAATCAGTGGGTTTACGTCTCTTAACTATAGAATGCCTAGTATAGCGTCGTAGGCATCGATTTATGTAATATCGTAGGAAATATCGAAGTTTTTTCCGTTGATCTTAGTTATGAGGTGATTAGTCTCGCGGTTAACGATCCCATTATTATACTTAAACTTCGTTCCTTCGATGTTAACAACGTCGTAGGGTTTCTCCTTACCCTTCTATAATAGCAGGTGTTAGTTAATCACCGCTAGCGAGATATAATTTTCCTACGCTCTATAGTCTACTATTACTATAAGCTAGTTCCCCTCGATCTTAATATCGATAATAATATTGTGCGAGCTTCCTGTTTTAATAGCTCCTAGGGTCTTCTGACCGATTGTTATTATACCGTGCTGTAGCCCTCTTACAGACGGTTGCTATCGTTTTTTGCCTGGTTAACTTGTTCGTCGGGAGTTACTGCTCTTGTGTTGGGATAGTTCTTAGTCTATTCTTGTTCGTCTGTGGAGGTGATTCCTTGTTCCTCCGTTTCGCTGTTGTCCCCATTATCCGTTAGAGATAGTATGCCTTGTTCACGGCATCGTCGTAGCTCTCTTTCCCACACTTAGTGTCGTTTGAGGTGTAGTTTGGCTACGTTGAGATCATCATCTCCGTCTTTTGCCAGATCGAGTGCGGTCTGCTTGCTATCCAAGTGGTTCCTACACTTCCAGTCTTGATATCGCTCGATTCTGTTATCACATACATACATTGCATGATCCTCGTGCTCTTTTTCTTTGTGCTATTGCTCAATCTTAGATTCCTTGTGGATTTTACATCGTGGTTCACGACACAAGTCGGTCGGTACCTCCTCAATGTCACACTCGGTAGGGTATTCTTCTAAGTCTTCCTTAAAGATGGCGTATTAATCTACTCGATATCGTAGATAGGAAAAGCGTTATACTTGTTCTTCGGTATATATAGCAGGTATAGTCCCATCTGCCTATGGAAAGAAGTTATTCTTTACCTTCCTTTTCCAATATGTCCTATAGTCGACACTATAGCATAACATCCATAATTCTTCATCGTGGTCCTTGTTATACTCTATCTTTAAATAAGTCGGTATATCGCGAATAAGGTTCTAGTATTTCATTACGTGTTCGGTTGTTCTGCTGTAGAGTACTAATGTGTTTAATATATTAGGGTCTTATTCCCTTATCTTTTGTCGGTGGTAGGTATAAACTTCCTCGTGTTCTACCTAAATTGTGTTTCTCGCCTATAGGTATAGTGTTTTCTCTTCTAGGTTTAGTGGCATAAACCCGTTCTCGTAGAGAAACACATATTCATAGGTTATAGGTGGTCCATAGCCCAAGACTTCTCCTTTCTCGAGTTTCTCCTTCAACTCTTAAAATATTCCCTTGATTTACTTTTATCGTCCTTGTGCGATGCTAACTTCCCACCTATCTTCTTTATTCACTATCTTGTGGAAGATTAGTGTAAGTTATATAGAGAACTTAGGAATTTAAATAGCGTCTTCTAAGCGTTCTTTCTTTCGGACCATTCCCAAGGTCCTAGTATTACTTTTTCCAGTTGCCCCAAGTTATTTCTTTCCTTTAGGCATAGGCTTCCAGTCCTTCTTATCTTTCTTTGGTTTCTTGCAGTGGGTGGCAATATGTCCAACCTCATTGCAATTAAAACACTTGCGTTTTTCCACAGCTCCTAGCTCCATGGGACCAGCGTGCGTCCTAGAGACTACGGTTCTTAGTTTATACCCTTATCGAGGTCTTCCAGTGTTAGCGTGAACTATTAGTCGTTATTTACGAGTTCGCCACTAGTATTATCGGTCATCGATTCTTATGGCTATAGTTATGTATTTATAGATACTTACTAGCCTATCTTCTCTATAGAGTTCTTCCTAGACTTCTTTCTTAAGTCTATCGAAGTAATAGGATATAGCGTGCTCCTGGTCCCATCTAGTCTTCGCTAACAGCTGCAGGTATCTAGTGCTAAAGGTTGAAGCTGATCCGGTCTAAGTGAGTTAATTGATATCGTGTTCCGACTTTCGCTTTTCGTCCTAGATTCCAAAGGTTTACTAAAGAGTCTCCACAAAGTATTCGAAGCTTATCATAATGTCTATAGTCCGTTAAGTACCACTTCCGCTAAGGTATTCCCTCATAGTAGGTTCAAACTAATCAAGTACGATTCCCGTAAGGCGCGAGTGTGCGTAGGTAACCTTTCTCGCGTTACTATTAAGCGTAATAGGGAAATAGTTAAAGTACACCCTAAGCTAAGTGATAAACCCTTATAATTCGGCCTGGGTTCCATCGAACAGCTTAGGTGCTGGTGGCTTAAGTAGTTGTCCTAGCTCTCTTCCTTGGGCGATAGTAGCGGCTTAAGCCTAGAGATTAGTGTTCGCGGCGGCTTACTGTCCTATTAGGTTTATCACGGTAGTTAGGTTTCCTTGAAGTTCAGCGAGGTGAGCTTAAAGTTGAACAATCTATTCGCATAGAAGCTGAACTTCTGGATTAGCGTTATCATCTTCTTCATCGTCGCTACTATCGTTACTGTCTTCGTCCATAGCGTCCACAACAGTAGCTTAGTTAGCAGTAGCGGCAGGCGCGTTATTCTGGTGAGCGGGAGGAACTACAGCAGCCATAATATCTTTCATTTATTACACAGCGATTAAGACAAGGTAATCATCTAAACAAGAGTTATCAATGTGTGACAGTTAGTAGACTTACACTAGACGGGGGTCTAGGGTAGGTCAGGGATATAACCAATCAGAGATATTCTAAGAGGGCGATCAGGTTATCTTAGTGCTATATGAGTCACTGCTAATGTACGAGCACTAAGAAGCTAGTTTCAATGAAGGCGGTAGCGATTATATTAATAACTATCTAAGAAAGTGTTTCTATCTAAGAAATAAATGTATATATATAGTGAGGCCGTCACTATCTTATCACTGAGCCGTCACTCTGCCCGAGTGACGGGTCGATTTCATTAGTCCCCAAGGTGGAGTTCAACAGTCCACCTTACACGTGACTTCCTGCGGCCTGACGGAGGCCTTTGTTCGTAACAACTAGTTATTAATTTATTTAAATATTTAATATAATAATAAGTTGCAAAATTAGATGATTTTTTTAGCTTTTGAATTTTTATATAATAAATGCTGGCCCTCGTTTAACACCTAATTACCGGCTTAAACGTAAATTTTATTACTGGGTGATGTGCACTTGGAAGGCCTCCAGCTGTAAGGTCCAATGTATTTAGGGGTCATCGGCCTGGCGTTGGGCGGCTGTCTGAGATTCGGCAGGGGATTCAAGCGCTGTGGCAGAGAATTAGGTAATAACTTATGGTGCCTTACAGGTACTTTCAGCGAATGCATGAGAGTTTCGGCCGCAATGCGTCTGCGAAGGTCAGGGCGCGGACCTTCTATCGAGCTATAGGTATACTTGTTTTTTCATTAATGATTTTCCTTCAACAAAAAAAATTCGACGCGTTAATTAAAGTGGCTATATTGTATGTGACCCCAAAAGTGTTTCCATCTAGCTGTTCGGGTCAGCTCAGCCTTTCTTCTTCATCAGACTTTATCATCCTACCCTATACATCGAATTGTGCTTGGAACAACTTAATACCTTTATCGTGTTGGATCATTTCATCAGTTCCTGTCCTTGGAAACTCGATACGAATAAAAGTAATTTTGACATAGAAACACTTGATCTTGGTTATTAGCAGATATGAGAAGGACCCGGGAACAGAGGGGAGGAGATTTCTACGTCACTGTGATGTGGGTGAAGTATAGGAGCCTGATTCTGTACTTGGCTAACAATCGACGATATACCTACTGACCAGCTCAAATTTCTATCTCCATTTCCTGAACCAATTTTATAAATTCAGATTGTTATTTCCATGGAGATGGGGCCTAGGCTCGAGCTTCACGGGCAAGTTCGGCCACTCTCTCCTCAGCAAACGAGTTGGGGAGTGTCCTCGCCTCACCACGCTAATAATTCAAAAGAAGGCATTGAAATTCCTCCCAATCAACAACAAGAAATCCCTCGAGCCGACCCAAATTCTACGCCAGACTGCTCCGTCGTCCCGACCGCCTATGTCAACTAGGGTTGGTTCTACGCATAGGTTTTGCTCGTGAGTCGCGTGCCTAAGGGGACGTGGTATGGTCTCATTTGGGAAATCCCTGCCAAGACATGCAAAAGTACGGAGAAGCCGCTGCTTGCGAGGGGAGGCTGACGTAGAATTAACTTGGAAGGATGCAGTGGCTAGAGGCTACGAGTGTCAATCTGACAGAAGTAAACCCATGCCTCAGATTCTTGGGCGAGCAGCGTTGTAGTTTTGGCACATGAGGTCGGGTTTCCATTTCCACCCCCTAACCGCCTCCGTCTACAAGCATGGATAAGATGACAAAATCTACAATCTAGTCGGAATTGCAACAATGGCAGAGGCCACAGTGATTATCATAGATACAGCTTGCTCAGCATACTCTGCAGCGAGAATAGCGGATGGTGTAGTGTATGTTCTGATTGAGGATGATCGCTGGAGCGTTATTAAGAGCGGTGGGTTGAGCAGACAAGTGTTCTCCGCTGTTTGCGTTTATTCTGAGTAGCAGCAAATGTCTCATACATGCGTGCTTCGAAGCAAGGTTATTCCTTGGGTTATCAAGCATCCAACATTAGCTAAAGCCTAAGGCTCATAACAACTGTTCTAGTTGTTATGACCACAATTCGCTTTGTCCGAATCCCCCGACTCTGAATCACTCCCGTCAGAGAAATAGCGATGGTCATAGAGCATGGCGATCTGAGTTCGATCTGATGGCCGCGTGGTGACCATTTTTCGGATCAGATCTAGGAACGTCTCACGATCAGGCTCATTCTTCAGCCGACGACTCCAGGCCTTGTCCGTATCGAATACGGGTTGTTTCCAGACCTCAGTCCCGTAGCTGGGCTTTTGCGAACTCAAGAAATCAGACCAGTCTTTAGGTGGTGAACCACCTAAACACAAGGCATCGTAAAGTTGCGACTGGAGATTGCCCCATGATGACACCATATACCCTCCCCTCAATTCGTGTATCTTCACGTGTTGTTCAGTATACATCTACTGCACCTGGGATGAGATGAATTTGAAGTTTGACTCACCATACATCCAATCGCCCAAATATCGGCTTCTTTGCTCCAGACCGACCCAATTTCTCCGTTGGATAACATATGCATCACGACTTCAGGTGGTCGATTCGCGACTGGTGTGGCACCTGGTAGGTCTGAAGGAATTTCATCTGCCCAGCATGCTAATAATAGTTAATCAACGTCTGTTCACCAAGGCTAGGGGGCTTACCTCTTCCAAAATCGATGATTTTGAGACACATTTCCTCAGGTGAAGGGAGAAGATTCCTCGCCTGGATTAATTCTTCCAATGGGCTGGTTTCGGTGAGGTAGGCTGGGAACGACTCAAGTGGCAAGAATGGATCATGCGGTACCACTGGTACAAGCACAGGATCGGAAAATTGATCCATCACATCCAATTCCTTAGCCTCCTGGAGTTGCGGTAACGCTATGCCGAAGTTGTTGTAATGGGGATCTGTAAACCAGGCACATCCTTTAGCTGCGTCCGCATTCTGGACTCCCACGGTTGAGCCTTACCTCCATGCACCACCCCGTGGCGGTGTAAAAAATCAAAGCCGGCCAATGCTTGCTGGGCTAGTCTCTGTGGCGAGCCGTGTTTTTCGATAGACATGCGACGCAAGGGCAGCACGACTTCGGTTACGATACACGCGTGGAACCCATTGGGGCCTCGGACTGTAAAGCTGTCGTAGATTTCCAAAATATTCTCGTGGCCCAGTGCGTCAGAGTCGACCTGGTGGAGATGGTGTAGAATTTCTGCTTCAGTGCTCCTTTGAGTGGGTTGATCGGAACCCTGGCAGATCTTGAGGGCGACGTATCTTCTGTCAGACGGTTTTGGTTAGCTAGGGACTGCCGACATGTGAGGACGAATCAAGCATACTTCTCGTCGACATCTCGCGCGAGCCAAACAGTGGAAAATCCTCCGAAGCCAAGTTTCAGGAGGATGCGGTATCGTGGCTTTTTAACTTGGTCATCTACACAGGTACCGAGTTTGGGAAGAACTTCGCCGAGGATAACAGGATGCAGTCCTCCAGGCCGGTACCTGAATAGCTTCTCGGATTCCTCTCCATCTCCACCAAAATAGAACGTGGTCATGTCAGTCTGACACATTCTGGGAGAGGTGTTGCAATCAAAGATGCTCAAGTTAAAAATATGTGAAGTTGTCGGCCAGAGGTGAAGTCGATGTATGTTTCAATGGGCGATGAGGGTTTCCTAGGCAGCTGTGAATAGAGGTGGAAGAAAGGTAGGAAAATGAACAAAGGTGCAAAGTAGAGAGGCAGAGAAGGGTAAGAGAGTGTGTGGGTGTGGGGGAGAGAGGTGAGGAAGGAACGCCCAGCTACCTTAAGTACTAACCTAGAGGTAGGTACGAAAAGTTATGGTAACGCGTACTAAGAATTACGCCAGCAGCACGCGCGACAACATGTGATACTCGACTTCCGAGGTTGCGTGTGACGAAAGCACAGTGTGACAATGGGGCTACACCAATTTGGCGAACAATCAGATTGGAAGTGATAGCATCATCAACTCTTTCAAAGCCATTGAGCGTTGATTCACGGACACGGAAATCGTCCTTGCTCGTGATTCATTCCACCCCGGCGAAATATCGGCAACACCTAGGCGGATCAACATGAACATTAAGGTACCTAGTGACCGCCATACAAAATCTGGGCTGTGGCTTCCATCTTGATACGATTGGGTCATCCCCATGAGGTCGTGGTGTTTTTGACATGGATGGATTTAGGTATCAGAGAGTTCGGCAGATCACATCCCTTTCTGAAACGTCTTGACTCGCAACTGAAAGCTATTTGGCTCGCTCCCCGACATGTTACAACGACTTATGCACCTGTCAAGGAAGTCAGGTCATGGCGTGTTAGTAGCTTCCATAGTGAATGTGGCGGTATCTTAACATGGGTAGGTAGGGTCTCCCTCTAGCCCAGTATTCATCGAGTGCCATAGACCGTACCAAGTGGGCGCCAGAATAACATGGAATGCGAAGGTGTTTTAATCAACTTTCCAATACAGGCCACGATACTGATGGGCAATAGTTGATTATAATAATCAATTGTTTTGTGACTATTAGGCAACATTGTCTACCGCGATATCATCTGCCTATCATTACGCAATAGGGAGCATTATTTTGTGACAGACTGCCACAATACTTCTGTCGAGATGACTTGGCAATCCCTGTTTTTCTGAAAGCCACTTGCGTGCCCCAATAGCGTCACTCAGTACCTTTCAAAAACACATCCTACCTTGTTCAATGGTCGATTTTCTGCGCATAATCGTTTCTTTCAGCCTCTTCAATAGCATCCCGCATTGCTGTCGAGTTGTAATTGGCCTTTCTTTTATGGTTGATCGAATACTCGTCGTACCCTTGATGAATTTTATCCTTTACCGAGTAAATATGGACGTTCCCTTGTGTTGAGTGAGTCTGCTGTTGCCACAGCTGAGATGATGCTACATTCACTGAAATGTGCCCTCTATTATCTCCAGACAAGGTAGATTCATGCTGATGCATCCTTTAGGCTGTTAGCTTCTTGATCCATATGTACTTAAGAGGGGGTTCTTTTCTTACATCACAAGGAGAACGCTACACGGTGAAGCAGCAGTAGTAGGGTTTGAACCCCTCGTGTCCTATTTCCTTGCCAGCAAGTAAATATTAAAAAGTGTGAAGCGTGTAATAGGAGGGCGGTTGTTGATTAATACCTTCTCACCGTTGTTCCATCGTGTGACGAAGGTTCGGAGAACCTCTACGTAGGCGCTAAGATTTTTGATCACATCCTCCTGGTGGTTCTTATCCTTGATCATGAATAAGATCTGGAGAGGTCGGCCATCATGGTCGTCGGTGTTGATATGGCCGCGAACCATGTTGATCGTAGACTGGGCAAACGGAAGACTTCTTGCTGTTGGTGTTGCTTTTGAGAGCAGTAGCTGAAACTGAGGGAGAGAGGGATGAAAGAGGAGATTTGAGCAGAATTTCCGTGAGAATTTATATTAGCTACCAAGACCGATGAATGAGAGACGGGCCGCAGAGACTTCCATCTTGGCACTTAATCACTAACAGTAGGCGTTTGCATTGTCGTTCACCCCGCGGCGGTTGGTTCGCATTGTGTTGACTGCTGCTGAATAGAAACTGAGGGAAAGCACAGAGGCAAACAAAATTTTGGCGATGATTCACATCAGCGAAGTGGCACTCAAAAGCCAGAGACGTCACCTCGGCGAAACTATTGTGGCAGCCAGTCAATAATAGTGCTTCCTATTGTGCAATAATGCACAATACTGTCAAACAATCACTTAAAAAAAATCATTGTTATCATCGAGAATAGTCTGTCAATATCGAAGCCTGTTGGAAAGTTGATATGGAACACCTCTACAGTCCCTTTTATTCTGACACCCCCTTGTAGCTATCGAGATTTATGGATGGGGAAGGGGGTTAAGATTTTGTCAAGTTTCAGAAGAAAGTGCTTTGTACGGTTCAAATATCTCATTTTATGATTAGTTAATCTAGTAATATCCCCATTGGAAAGACTCTAATCTTTGAATTTCAGGCTTCTGTAAAGGAGAGTGACTACCTATCAAGCTTCTGGAGCGACGAGAGGCGCTGCCTAACCTTACGGGATGTGAATTCAGGAACTTGTGATAGCTGTCTGGGTGCCTGTATGGTCTAGAGAACATGGTAGAGAGCAAATGAAGAGCGTGTAATTCGACGATTGAAGCGAGCAACGTGCCAGATTCGAGAAAAAGGCTTTCCCACCGACTTGTAACCTCCGCTGGGCTCGTCCCTCCTATTCAGCTGTCTAGTTCCATTCCTTTTCGAAGAAGTGTTGAATCACTTCGGAGACGGGAGTCATCTTGATTCCCACACACCCAAACTTGCAGTCAGCAGGACACTTCGGGATTTGCCCGTCAGGCAAACCCTGCTGCGCGCACAGCTCCCGCCGGTGTTGAGCGAGGCGGGCGTAGTGCCCCCATTTCTGCAGGTCGATGGTGGAATCTTGGTGTTCGCTGAAGTAAACCTTCCAGGTGCCCTCCAGTCGCGGGCTGCTCATTGATGAGATGATGGTATCCCAGCAGAAGGAGGTCCGTCTGCACGAGCCCCCGTAGGTGGCCTGCCAACTCCAACCCCTGCGGCGCAAAGTGAGGTTCTCGGCCATCAGCTCTACCTCTTGCCTGCACGCCTCTTCCATCTCCTCTCTGCTACGAGGTTCGAGATGGTACAAGCTCATGATGGGATGCTCAATGTCCGGCCAGTCCTCGTTGTATGGGACCTTGTCAAATGAGATTGTAATCTGATCCGGCGCAATATATGCTACGAATTGGCGCCTGGGAGAATAATCGGGAGGAGTGCGACAGCCAGTGTTCGGGCTTGGCAAGTCTGATTCCGTTTCATCCTCTGCGAACTCATCCTCTGCGAACTCCTCTGCGAAACAATCGATTGATTCAGAAGTGGGAATGTAGAATGAATTGGAAGAATCATCGGGAGAGTGGCATGAAGTATTCGGGCTTGGCAAGCCCAATCGTGTTTCATCCTCTGCGATCCAATGGAGAGATCCAGGGGAGGGAGCATAGAATGGAAACTCCTTGTTTTGGAGCCACTGGTAAGCTTGAGTCGAATGAGCTAAGGAGACGAACTCAACAGTGAGCGCCTCGGATCCGCACTTGTGATTGTAGGCAGCATGTACGATTGCTTTCTCGCCGCCCATGGCGCAAATGAAGAACCAGACAGCGTGAACTGGGAAGTTGTCGATTTTGAAGCAACGAGTGACATTTTCAGATTCCGAAGTGAATTTGGCCCCTTGGGTTCGGCCAGGGACGAGCCACACGTCAGCAGTGCGGCGGGTTTGGTTGTCCTCATACTCAATAAAAAAGTCCGACTTGGCCGAGAAAGCGAAGGCTGCGGCAGAGTTGGAAGACACGAACTCAATGCTGGCAGACTTGGTGCCTTGGCCTTCGATCTTGGCCGTGTCGATGAGAAAGACCTTGACGACAGGACCGAAGCCGCGGACGCCCCTCAGAACCTGGGCGATGCTGACACCAGATGGAAGATTGCTGATGATGACTCTGCGGCTCTCATTCTTGGGCTTGACGCGCTCGAGCGCAAAGTTGCTTGGCTGGGGGATCATCTCGCTGGGCATTTCTTGGCGCAACCGCGCAAGAAATTCCTAATCTCTTGCACTGCTTTCCTCGAAAGCCATTGTCGATGTTCCGAAGCAATGTCTTGAAAGCTAGTAGAGAAAGCTAAGACGGTGAAGTTTTGAAGCAGCGGAGCGTGATGAGAGCTTCAAGTTCTGCCCTCGAAGGTGCGAGAAGCAGAATGCAGAATGAAGGTGGAGAAAACAGGAGAAAGGAAGGAGCGGCGAGGAACGCAGGACATTTCCCAATTTGAGAGAGGTTTGTGCGCTATTGTGCGGGAGCCGTGACAAAGGGGCTCCGGACATCATGTACTTGTGTCGAAGAGTCTCTCCGGAGCTCAGCAAGACACATGGCAGACATCGTTCCCAACACCAAGGAGTGACAACAAAACCAGGCCGCAACATATAAAGGGCGGAGTCCAGCTTGAGACATCGTGTATTCTTTCATAAATAGATATTTTGGTATCCGCTCTCGTTCAAAACAGGTTTTCTGCTACCTCAGAAAAGCAGTGAGTTAGCCTGATAGTTCATGCTGAGACAGGGGTACATACAGTGGTACTACTCAGAAAGTGTCCACTCCAAACCAACTCAAGGTTGGTTGGGACTCTTCAAAGAACTGTCCCAACCATAAAAAATAGAGACGGAAAACTCGAATATGTCCGGGCACAATGCCGTTATATAGATCGAAACCACTTCCCGTGCAGTATGTTTGTTGAAAAAATATCTGTTGAAATGGTGCCCAGTTCGTGTCGACAAGTGATGTCCTATCAACTGGCTTGTGGGTTTTAGTCAGGGGTTCGAAGTAACAGCCCCAAATTTTCTGAGCCTGGGGTTGATGAAGGCTAGTTATCCTAGGACAGTTTGCCATGTTGGTTCGCCTAAGTCTTAGAAAGACATGACGAGTTGCTACGTCTTGTCTTTCTAGGAACTCAGTGAGTCTTTTATCCAAGGTTATTAACGATGAGGGACATCTGTGATCTAAATATGGAAGGCCCATACTCAGTATGATTCGTCGCATAAGCACTGATGTCCAAAGGCCGTTCGGAGGCTCATCAGGCCCGAGGTCTCTTTCGCAGGATGAAGAGACGCGGTTGGGTCCCAACCAGGGGGGGTCACTTGGTGTGGATGAAGCTTCCTATGGTCCTTTACTACTTTTTGTAGTCTTGGAATCGAGTCTTTAGTGACCTGGTATAGGTATCACGGTTTTCATCTCGCCACTTGTCGAAAGACGCGAGGATGCTTGGGAGCTTCGCGTGGTCTTCTCGTGGTTTGTCCCGGTAACATCTCGATGATACCTATCTCTTCTGGACGATTCATGACGCATGATATTTGAAGGCTTGTAGAATGGTTTTCGTTCTCGTGTTCGATGATGTCGTGCCGGGGGGGGGGGGGGGGCTGATGTTGTTTCGGGGAAAGGACGTCTGCTGTCGGAGGGGATGAACTTGGAAGATGTATCAGGTTTTGGACGAGGAAATATTGAGGCAAGGATGGGCAAAGATGCAGCAGAATGATGATGGAGGATACCTGAAACGGAGAGGTTTCTCGACTGACCTAATTGTTTTTGGGAAAGTTGGAGGGACGGGCACGAATAGTGCGATGTGTGGCTCGATTTTGATCCTTCTTTTCTTGAAAATAGTGCAGAAGTGAACATCTTCCCGTGGAACAAGTCGATGTGGAATAGAACCAGACAGAAATGAGGGAAGAAGAAACGCAAGAAGTAGGGGGGGCGGGGAAAATAACACAAAGGAACTCTGAGTTCCGCTAGGACGTAAACAATGACTTTGCGGTCCCTACGCACTGTTCATGAAAACACCACGAGCACCGTGCATAACTCTAAAAAGCATCAAAACGAGCTATCATACTGTAGCTAACTACGAGTCTATTTTAGAACACAGGAAGGAGTTTGTGGGGTGCGAGGGCACTCTGGGTACAGCGAGGTTAAGGGGCGGCCACCTGGAGCACTACTGTCACCTTCGCGTCGTGGATACACGGATAACAAAAAGCCATCACCACTATTAACATGACATTGGGTATGTTCTGTTTCTATGGGAGGTTTATTTATGAAGTGTTCTTGGACTGAGGAGTTATTGTCTTGGAAATGATCAAGTGACGCACGCAGGCCGACCGACAGTAACCCGATTTTCTGCCTCACACTTCGATATTGGAAAGAAAATACATTGACATGAAGCTTAAACGAGCATCAATACAGCTTAATCGAATAAATTTAATGCGAAAAAATTACCTTGGTCGTGGTCGTCTCGCGTTCAAGGGAAGGGAATGGGGGCAAATGATGTGAGCCTGGGTAGAGTGGGAGTGGCTCACTGCGTTGGTTTAAAAACACCAATTTAATATATTCTATGGGTTGGAGTGGCTTGGTAGGTGCAACTATTGGCTCAAGGCTGCTATCAGCTCACAGGAGTTGAGGGGATGCTGTGGAGGGATCCCGTAGAGGGATGCCTTGGGAGGAAGCCAAGAGCGGCCGGCAGGCCAAGTTGCAGGACATGATACCCGAAGCGTTCTGGCAGGCTGAAAACATCGAAAAAAGATTAAAGGAGAATGGATAATTATCTCAGGATCCGACTTGGGAGGAGGATACATCGGGCAGCGTGCACATCGGGGCACAGACAGCCTTGATGGGATGTACTGTCCACTGAAATAAGGACATTCTTTCTGAAGCTCGAACCTAATTTTCTCCGTAATAATTGGGACTTCATTTATTGATTTGAAGTGACATATATTTTGGATCTAATGGGTTCGTCCTGAGCGCAGAAAATCCTCCATGGGCCTACCATGCAGAGCTTCATCGCCTCGTCTTTCCCCATGAGGTGCTGAATACCGATGAAAAGGCTATTCTCTCATGAGTAGGCCGACGTATGATACTGAAGGTCGATTCAACACTCAGAAGAATCACGTACAATATTTGGGGGGGCTTCTTTGAGCGGTTGCCCAGTGCTACCTGCCCATCCTTTCACTGAACAGTCGTTGCACTGCTGTAGTTCCCTGTGCACGTTAAGTAAAATAGAGGCGTGCTTGGTTAGAGACTACCTGAAAATAATACTATAATACCTGAATAGGTACCTAGGTGGCAGGTAAAATAGGTGGGATTGGATTTGCTGCGGGTGATGCGCACACAAAATCCCACTTCCCCCCTCGACCTCTTCCCCTCTCCTTTCTTCTTTCATCCCCACACCAACTTTGGCCTCAACCATCAACCACAACCATTAACTTCATTCCTTCCTTGGTAAGTGCACATCTCTATCATCATACTCATCTGTTTGGCGGAGTTCGGATCGAGCTTTCACCCGTAAAAAATCCCTCCACAAATACCAAGTTTCAACTTCCCCAGACACACACTCCTTGTTTGAAGCTGCAGAAAACGTAATTCACTTCTTTCAACTTCATTTTACCCTCTTCATAACCTATTAGCTTCTTTTCACCAAGTATGATGCTTTTCTGGAGATTGAAATTCCCCAAAAACTAGAGAATCTAGAGTGACAGCCACGGTCGCAGCTCCTCACACGCTCACCTCCTCGCGCTGGGAATAACAACGCGACTCTGAAAGCCTCTCGAGTCATCAGGTAAGAAAATAACATCTTCATATTTTTGAACAAATTGATGCTGAACTTCATTTGATGACCTTGGGCAACTTTGCTTCACCTCATTTGGTTGCAAAAGCCATCATTTCACTTAGGTTTTCAGATCAGAATTCTCCCCCCTCTTCTCCCCCCTGAGGCTTCATTCTTCTTCCACACACGCGTTTATTCCCGCTGCCTTTCTATTTGGAGGAAATTTGTTTCTTTTTCCTCTCTTTCTTCATACTCTGCCTCGAAAAAAGCCGCCGGGCCAGAAACCCAAAAGCTACCACCATGAAGTTCCAGCGGGCACTTGGTTGGGCCCAGCTCAACTGGAACACCCCCCTATCTCCCCTTTCCTCCATAAACACACAAAACACAAGAATTCCCTTTCATTCCACTCGAGACAATAATCCTCGGGGCCCTTGAACCGAGACCCAGGGAAAAAGCAACTTCGATGAGCTCGAGAAGAAATCGGCCAAGCCAAACGCAAAGCCACCTACCCCAAGAACGAGCATCGTGGCCAACCCACACCGCATGAGAATGAATCTTCCCAGACACCTCCCACCCACAGAGCCTCTCAGAACCACTGAGCTTCTGTCAAGAAAGCACATTTCATGGTAGTAAAACAAAATCCCGCCTTCCTTCTTACCCCTCCCCTTCACCTCCCGCCCCAAAACGAAACCCTCCCTTGAGGAAAGAGTCACTCCTGGCTGCCTAAATTTGCCTTTCTTCTCTCTTCGGTAAGCTTCTATACCTTTTCAACCTTTTTCTTTGCCCTTTTCTTAACATCTGTTTTAGAATGGCTTTCGGAATGAGGCCTGACGCCGAGAATCCTGAATCCGACACCCCTGCCACCGTCATCTTCACAAGCACGTCTCTCAAACTTTCCCACTGGAAAAATATCTTCTCCTCTCTTTTGAGAATATCTACACATATTGCACATGATTTTACCATAAAACACAATCTCCTGCTATCAGAAGCTGCAACTCGAAGTTGCTCGGCGTCGCCTTGTCTGCTCCAACCCCTATCAAAATGAAGCAGCAAATATTTCACTCTTCGCACTGGGCCTCCTTTGAATGAATTCTGTCCAAGGAGCATGTCTTTTGGCAGCGTTACCATGGAAATGGACTTCATGTGCCAGTCCCTGTGGCTGCGACACCGCCGCCAGCCTACGCATCCGCCCCTGAGGTACAACTCCCCGTTCTTCTCCCCTACAGCCATGAAAAATTGCTAATTTTTCCTCTCGGATCTAGAACATTCTAATCTAATCTTTTTGACACAATAAACACAATGAATTGGTGCGAAAATCGGGGTTTATTAGGGCAGTTGCCCTCGTTTTCCCACCGCTGGGCGGGCGTTGGTGTCGCGGGTCACCCCCAAACACCCCCTTCTTCCACTCTCCACCCTCCACCCTCTCTCCTCTTCAACTCACCACCCACACACTTCTTCAAGCCTAATACACTTTATCATTCATTCATTCATTCATTTAATGAATGATCATATCATCGAGCACACTTCATAACATCCTCAACATACCTACATCATCTTGCTGTTGGTGCTGTTGCTATCTGCAACTCATCGTCGCATGGCCTTGACCTTCAACTAAAGCTTCGCATCCAAGAACACAGCGAAGACCTTGAGTAACTTACCACTCTTGGTCTGACCCAAGGCTGCTCCGTTGAACGAAGTCATACCTAGTTGTTCTTTGGTGGCTTGGATTCCATACTAAACACATCCTTGGCAAAGAACCATCGCTCATCATGGCGAGTGGAAATGCCTACACCACTTCTTCCTGCCGATAACTTCATTCGCTTCATCGACTCACTATCAACTCGTCAAGACTGCCCTTGTCATCATCGGCTCTTCATTACTCCTACTCATACCTATTGTTGTGTCTTGTACCAACAACCTGTTCCTTCATCATCGCACTACATACTATCATGAGATGCTTTGATCAAGCCTTGGTACAGCTCTATCGCCTACTGAATGAGGTCCTTGAACCTGCAAAGCACCCTACTTCCTCAAAGGCTGGACAAGAAAGAATCCTCTTTCGAGTTTCCTTCCTGGCAGTAGCCGCACCAATACTCCTCCCCTCCCCTGAACGAGGCGAGCGATCCCATACCAATACGCCTGAACTCAAGAAAAACAACATCAACATGAGTCATGAATACCTCCATTTCGTTGCAGAAATATCTCAAAGGATGATTCTCAATCTCACCATCTCGCTTGCTTACACCATCATTACTTCCATGGCTGTCTCGTCAATCACCAAGGGATCTCAAGCCTAGGGAATGTCGCGACCCAAAGTCAACCCCCGCAACGAAGAACCTCACTGAAATAGAATTGCATCAACGCTTAAGGATGTGGCACGGGCAATTCTATCTGATGGAGAGAGACCCTGAATTTGGTGATCCCGCCCACAGGAGGCATTGCTTACACGGATACATCGGAAGCGTCTAAAAAAGGCACATGGAATGGAATTGTCACAGCCCGCGATGATCTCTCTTCTGCGGTGCCAAGGAGAGGGGATCCGGTTGAAGGTGGTATCTAGAGGATTGTACCGACGCCTAAGTATGTGGCATGGGCAATTCTCGACGATGATATCAGCATCCTCCGTTCTCACCTCCAGTAGCTCCCTGATTGGCAGTGGTCTCGTGGTTAGAGAATCCCTTTAACGCCTAAGTATGTGGCATGGGAAATTCTCGATGATACCACGGAGCTGGCGAAAGCGGCCTGGCGGCTTCGCTGTACTATCCTACGACGGTCAGAACAACAGCGGCATCCACTGGTCGACGATCATCTTTGATCGCCAGACGGCCACGCTGTACTACATTGACGCACTTGTGTCCCTGCGAGAGGAAAGATTTAAGGCTGCGTGTTTCTCGGTGCGAAGTTTTTGGTTCCACCAAGGCCTCCCATTTAGCTTTACTGCCATCTGCCTCAATCTTCCGCACCATGAGAGGCCGGGGTCATCTGGAGTTCTGTCAATTTTCACTCTTTGGATCATGATCAGAGGTCTAGTGATCGGTGAGTGATTGTGGTGGTGTCTGAGGATTGACCAACGCCAAAGTATGTGGCAAGGCAATCCTTGATGGCACCACCACGGTGTTCGTCATCGGTGATGTTATGGCAGAAGGAGACTCCTTCTATGAAACTGACATCGCCAAAATGAAGTACATTACGATCGAGGGTCGTAATCCTGGCTTCAGCTCGGTCGCCGTGATCGGTGAGCGATTGTGGTGGTGTTTGAGGATTGACCAACGCCTAAGTATGTGGCATGGCAATCCTTGATGGCACCACCACGGTGTTCGTCATCGGTGATGTTATAGCAGAAGGAGACTCCTTCTACGAATCTGACATCGCCAAGATGAAATATGTCACTATTGAGGGCCGTAATCCTGGTTTCTGTTGGGTCCCAGACCCTTACAACCTCTTTCCTGGGCCGGCATCAGGGGCGCTAGGGATGATCCTGGCAACATTAGCCGTGGACCTTAAGGCAGTGTTCGTTCAAAATAAATTGACGATCAGTGCATCAGAAGATCCTGAGCGCGTTGCTCAGGATCTGGAGATGTACGAGACACTCGTCGTACCGGCAGCAGTCGAAAACTTATCCACGCCGAATCTCCTCCAAGGAGTGTGTCTGCACTGGTTCCGTTGATGGATGGTGTCTAGAGGGTTGACCAACGCCTAAGTATGTGGCATGAGTCTCCTCGAGGACGACATCACCAAGTTAGCCAGAACTCTCTCTCTTGGGCCGGCCTCAGGGGCACTAGGAAATCCTGGCAACATTAGCCATGGATCTCAAGGCTGTGTTCGTCCAGAACAAGCTGACCATCAGTGCTTCAGAAGATCCTGAGCACGTTGCTCAGGATCTGGAGATGTACCAGATCCCAGACCCATTGATGGGTGATGTCGAGAGGTATTGACCGACGCCTAAGTATGTGGCATGAGTCTCCTCGAGGACGACATCACCAAGTTAGTCTGAAACCTCTTTCCTGGGCCTGCATCAGGAGCACTGGGGATTCTTGCGGCCCTAGCCGTGGACATGAAGGCAGTCTTTGTTCAGAACAAGCTGTCCATCAGTGCATCGGAAGATCCTGAGCGCGTTGCTCAGGATCTTGAAATGTACCAGGTCCCAGATCCGGTCTCCTTCGCCGACGGCGTGCGGCCATTAAACGCAAACTTGTTCGCATATCGCTCAGGATCTCGAGATGTACCAGATCCCAGACCCCATCTATGGGGGATGTTTAGAGGATTGTCCAATGCTTGAGTATGTGGCACGTCGATTCTTGAGGACGACATCACCAGTTTCCGTCACAATTGCCGACTCAAAGAGAAGCTGGGATAATAAGTCCGGCGGTGGGTGGTGCCTAGAGGATTTACCGACGCCAGAGTATGTGGCACGAGTCTCCTCGAGGATGGCATCACCAGTCTCCGTCTCAACCTACCGACTCAAAGAGCAGTTGAGGTGATAGCTTCGGTGGGTGGCGCTGAAGTCGTGGTGCCTAGAGGATTTGACCGACGCCTGAGTATGTGGCATGAGTCTCCTCGATGACGGCACCACCTCTTGGATGCTGTCTCCTCCGCCGCCGCTCAGCACAGTGGCTGCTGTCCAGACTCCAACAGTCCTCGCACCAGAACGAGTGACGGAGAATGGCCTTGTAGACTGGAATAAACAGGCAACTTGGTCCTTCCAAGGAATGGACCCGCACGCCATTAGCCAGGTGTGCAAAGACGCAAGAGATGTTGTGAAGAAGCATTGCGTCGCCTTCCGGGGGAAGAATACCACCCCCATCACGACCAAGGGGCCGGTCGTGTACGCCCGGCCGTTGGCGATGCCGAGAGAACTGCCCGGCGCCTAAGTATGTGGCAGTGCAGTTCTTGATGATGGCATCACCACTCCCCAGAAGATTCCACTCAAAATGCTCCTGCAAGAGTCGAAGGACCTTGGAAAGAAACTAGACTCTTTCAGTCTATTCAAAGAGCTCCCACAGGAGCTTCAGGACGAAATTTGGAAATTTGCTGTCCAGACCCTTGCTGTCTTGGCACCTCAGCAGGTGATTGAGAATGATGGAAGTTGACTACGCCAGAAGGACTGACCGACGCCTGAGTACGTGGCACGGCAGTTCTCGGAGATGGACTCGCCAATCCCAAGAAGACACCGCCCTGAAGGGGTCGTCCTCTTCCCTCAACCATGACGCCTTTCTCCGCAGTAAGTAACCCAGCATTCCCCCCATCCCAAGTTGGTATCAGTGTATCTTCTTTCTTTGGATCCTGCTAACATCTTCTCTTCACTTCTCAGCGACAACAAACATCTACATTCGTCTGGTAGCAAAGACTTTCTCTATCTCATGTCCCGCTAACTGCAAGTTTGAGTGTGTGGGAATCAAGACCACTCCCGTCTCTGAAGTGATTCGAGACTTCTTCGAACAGGAGTGGAATTAGAACGGCTGAGGTGGAAGACTATGATGCCGAGAGGACTGACTAACGCCTAAGTATGGGGCATGTCGGACCTTGATGATGGCATCGTCAATCTCGTAACCTACCGGTACGTCAGGTGAGTCAATTCAGCTTGTCTTCTGCTCAATTCCCCTCGGCCAGTCTGCTAATGGATGAAAGGCAGTTCACGCGATAGAGGATCGGTTGACGGGTCGACGCCCGGAGAGCTGACCGGCGGCAAAGTATGTGCCACGGCAGCTCTCAAACGGCGCTCGACCACTGAACGCCAACCTCTCCACCTATCTCTCTCGCTTTGTGGGCTATAACGGCCCTGAGATCAACGATGAACGACGCTGCACTTTCGTGCAGCATAGAGAGAGGGAGTTGTGCAAGATTGTGGCAGAGGATGCCTTCGCCAACGGCTCTCCACGGATTCACTTCCTGCCACTCTACTCCCCTTACCGGGAGTATTACGCCGACGCCAGCGAAGATCGAGCCGTTGAGCATGCTGCCTGCCATCATGAGCTCACATCGCGCGATGCCGTCACAGATGACCAGAGTGAGAAGATTTGCCGGCCCCCGCCGGCCATGACGGAAATGAGCTCACATGTCGTGACGATGTTACCGATGAACAAATCAAGAACGAACTCGATAATGCGTGGCAGTGTCTAGGGGGTTGACCGCCGGCTTAGTATAGGCCATGGCAATCTTTCGATGATGACACTGGCCTCCCTCATCGCTCACGCCGACGCCAGTGAGGATAGAGACGTCGAACATGCTTCGTGTCATCACGAGCTAACACCACGCGATGCTGTCACAGATGGCCAAATCAAGAACGAACTCGATAATGCGTGGCAGTGTCTAGGGGATTGACCGCCGGCTTAGTATAGGCCATGGCAATCTTTCGATGATGACACTGGCCTCCCGCATCGTTCCAGATAGCAAAACCTGCCTTGGGAATTGGCTTGGGGAATGGCCGGGGCGACAGAAAGTCCAGAAGAAGATCTCGCTTCTTGAAGCGGATGACTTTCTCACTGAGATGGGAAAGGAATTTCAGGAGGCCACGCTTCCTGTCTCGAATGTAGAGGACTCGTCGTTTTCCGAGGCCCGGCATGGCCGTGTCCTAGATGGCAGCCCTCCACGGAAGAGGCAGAAACTACAGCCAGCGGAGGAACGTGTGGCGCATGATTCCTGTGGCTCACTGCCACAATCGTCGGTCGAGGCTTACCGGCAAAGTACGTGCCATAGCCTCCCTCGACGATAGCATCACAAAAGTATCAAAAGGCACATCGACCAAGATGTCCCAATCAGTTGGAATAGGGAGCATCCTAGGCCTCCTCATCATATCCGGATCCTCCAGATAGGTTGGTAGGAGCTTTGTTGCCACTTGCCGCCAAGATGGCAGACAACCAGTTGGGTTGTGTGGAAGTTTCCAAAAGAAGAGTACAACTAAGACAACTCAAGGATTTGATTTAAAGAAACTGGGATTTGTAAACTCGAAGATGGTTTTTCTGCTGGTTCAGAGGGTGACTCGGCATTAAGAACACATATACTCTATTCATTGTGTTGAGAGGGCGGGTCTTGGCATCTTTCATTGCTGTTTTTAACTTTATACTCGAACTCTCTCACCCGAACACACATACTCAGAGAAATAACCTCGATTCTGAACCACGCGGCTTCGCTTACATCCGGAATCCCACTGCCGACATTTCATCGACCCTTTGGGACTCAATAAAATTTTTTGGGCGTTTGATCTGGCCATCTCAACCTCGACGCAGGCACACATTCGCATTCCTGACTGAGATGAACTGACGCCACTTCCGACGGCACACATGAGTGAAGACCGAGGCGATTTCGAGCGCGTCAAATACTGCTAAACTTGCCGACTTCCTCGGATCCATTACGCATACTCATCACACAGTCGAGCTCATCTTCATCGACAAATCCCTCGTTTCTAGTCTCCAGCCGGAGATCAATTTGCCGGACGCTCTGTTGTTACACTTTAGCATACTTGGCGGTCCATTGCCACAGAGGTTCATCTCCTCGCGAATATTATCCCCAGGGCAAAGGCCTAGCATCGTCTCTGCCAATTGAGAAAAATACACCAAGACACCCGAGGTTTCTTCCCATGGCCGTTTACTTAGGACGGCTAGTTGGCCCAGATACTCAACTCAGACAGCACAAAAGGCTAGCTTAGCCAGCCAAAAGGCCCGCGGGGTCCATTTAATCCGTACTGGCTTCAACATTCAAATCATCTGAACGGGAAAAGAAAAAGAAAAAGGAACGAAGAGGAGAGAGAGAGCGAGAGGGGAAGAAAGAAAGGAGGAAATGGGGGAGAGATGGAAAAGAAGGGGAAGAAGGGGAAGAAGTCATCGCCTATTTGGATTACCTCCAGCACATCACTCAGAAGAAATGGCTGGCTGGCTTACAAAGTAACAAAATAAGGGAAGGAATACTGCACAAATATCAAACATCGTGTATGCGCCGGGTATTGGGCTTGGAGGATTAATATGTGTTTTGGAAAGGCGTCTGGGTTATGTCACATGGGAAGGTGGAGGTATTGCGCAAGGGGGAAGGAGATTGAGTACATGTACTGATGGATGAGGTGGTTGGAAGGAATATCGAGAACCCGAGAAGAGTCAGTCTGGAGCCAACACAATCGCATTTCCCGAGCGCCGCTACGCAAATCTCGCCAATTATCCAACCGAGACAACAAAAACAAGCTACAAGGGTGGATAAACCATTGCCGATCAAAACAGCCCTACTCTCAAACCGCATTTCGCCCAAACCACTGGCCGACGTTGACCACAAACGTGGCACACACACTGCGTATTCGAATTGGCGGCATCCCACCGGTCAAAAGAGCCAGTTAAGCTCACGGAAACCACAATGGAATTGGCAAGATTTGCATTGACTCTTAGTGGGACGAATGGATCTACGACGTCAGCGACTGTGCCGATTAAGGCGGAGGTCTCGATCGAGATGGAGAAGGACAAGGATCATCCCTCTTCAATGCAACAGCAACTCTCCGCAACCCTTCAGCAGGCGAACCAGAGACCGCGCTTGCGGGATAATTATCTCCTCCGTGATGCCAACGCGGTGAGAAACCAATGAACAACCTACCCTTTGCGGAAATCCATGTGGCAGGCTGATGTCGCCGTTATGCCAATATGACGTACCGTCACAAACCACAACCCGAGGGCCTAATGCACGCTCTTGGTCTCCTCAATGCCGCGGCTGGCCCATTGAAAGCAGGATATAGCCTTGCGGGCTAGAATAAATGGCAGCTGGTGCGCTCTCGCTGTAGCTGGCAGGGCGCTCGTCCACTCAACATTGGCATCCGTCTCTTTCTCCGTCACTACTCAAACGCCACCGAGAAATCAATTACAATGGCACCTTATTTACCAATCCCAGTGCCAACTTGGACAACAACAGACACCCCCTCTCGCGTGGTGGCACGGCAAGCTGTGACCACAGTGACCGTCGTCGCAACCAATGACGACTGTGTGAACTGCACCCAGCTCAGCGGCGGCGCCATCGCCGGCATCGTCATTGGCTCAATCTTCGGATTCCTCCTCTTACTTTGGATTATCCGATCATGCTTCAACCTCGGGGCGCCACCAAAGGACCGGGAGAAGGCGTGGTACAAGTGGGATGAGGAGCCGCGACACCAACACCACCATCATCGCCACCACCATCGCTCCGGCTCAGACCGGCGCGGGCGCAGCCGAAGCTACCGCGCATCTTCTACCTACTCAGTCCCGGCGGTTGTGATCAATGACCGGTCCAGGAGCTCGCGGCGGCCTCGGGTTTATGTGTGAGGACGGCTCGGGTGGGGGAGACGATATTCGTGATCGGGGTGGAATTGGCGAGGGAATGAGGTGTTGAAGTATATAAACTTACGATATGAATGACTCTTGACTTCCTATATCTATTCATTTCCCACATACAAGGCAATCTATTTGTGTGAAAGCTCAAGAGGGGAGAGGGGAAAGACGGGCCAGCCACGCAGAGTGTTAGGAGTCAAGTAGAGCCGTTTACTTCTCAAATACACAGGCACATTTTAGGCACATTCCAGGGTTCATTGACATATAAAAATCTATGAACGCAGAAATTCGACCAAGCAGTCGATTGGATAAGTATTCCGCTGCCCCCATCTTCTCTATTTCCCAGCTAACCCGACCAGTCGTTAGGGCTATCCCGGGTCGGAGATTATCAAGAGCATTCCAGACAAATATTGAGTCGCTCAAGCTGACTGGCCTACTTGAGTGCAGGCATACCAGCTAGTATCTGAGAGGCGGCCAGGCAACCGATCTGACTCTAGAGCCGACGGAATAGGGCGAAATCAGAGTGCTGTTATCCTTGAGCATCATGAAATATCCACCTTACATCACAGCCAGCATGGTAGAATTGGGGGGAAAGCGCAAAGAAGGCTAATGCCTGCCACAGGTGCATTGGGATCTCTCGATATTTGACCGGGTCCAGACGCTCCCGGGGCCGGCGTATGTCGTCACGGCCACCATGGTAATTGAATCAATTAGCATGGCTTGCGGCATGCTAATGCGATCATTTCCATCATACCCGAGAGGTTCTGGGCGTCAATTGGAAAGTGAATGTCACGATGAAAAAGAAAGACCGCCGTGATGTTGCATCTGGCTGAACAAACCTACGATGAGCAAGACGATGCTTCGCCGAATATGTTATCACAGCATCGCCATAGAACAGCGACATTGCCTAATTTGGCTCTGCTTAAAGGCACACACCGATAGCTCGCCATAGCTCTTCTAAATGACGTCGAGTCATAGGTGACAAGCCAAGCCTCGTCGAATCTGGGCGTTAAGCCGGCGCCTCGCTTGGCATGTGGAATGAGCAATGCTCACGGCAAAGAACCCGCTTGAAAATTTGCCTATTCACGAGGCAAACGGCTGAACGGCTCGACTAACAATTATAAATAACAAGCAACAGTCGCCGCAAATCCTCCATTCTTGCCGAATGCCGAGCAAGCAGCGAGCGCGCCTCACCAAACCTACAAATGATTTGCCTGCGCAGTGTTTGGATTACGTTTTTCTATGTTCTTGGGTCGTCGAACCTTGCCCAAGCGAGTTAAGCCAGTCGGCGATGCGGCCACGCGATTCGTCTTACCCCAACATTTAGACCCCCTGCTGCCGCCCTGGTTCCAGACATCTCCACCCCAGAAGCAATTCCGACGACCGCCCTTGTGTTGCCCTTTTGAGAGTTTCCATTACTCAATGCAAACCTCTTGCCAGTAGCACATCTCCGCGGCCAGACTCACTACGGTGACGGACCTCTGGGTTATTTGACTCTACCGTGGCCGCTTTCCCTCTTCCCCCTTCCCTCTCACTACCCATCATGTGCGGTTCCCTGAGAGAGTGTGTGCATATGCCGACCCTGATCTTCACGATCTCAAGATAAAAATCGCCAGAGGAGCCTGGGAGACCGAATACCCCGGGTCAGCCAGCCATGGATCCGCGGTATTGGACGTTCGACGTAGATCGGTATATCAACCGGGCCATCCCGCCGCCGCCGTGGCGTCACCTACCGTACCCAGTCGCGCGGTTCCTCGGGTACAGGAGGGAGGGCGACCAGCCGCAAGGGACGGGGAACCTCGTGCCCATCTTCTGGGCCTGGATCGGTGTGTTTTGCGGCGTGTCAGTCATAGAGGCCGTTGCGGCCCATGTCCCGTCCTTCAAGGACCACGCGGCCCCCATCATCGTGGGCAGCTTTGTAAGTCTTTTCCTCTCCCCGTTATATGCGTTTGAATTGCATCAGTAGTCTCAAGCCATTGGCTAACGTTGAAAACAGGGCGCAGCAGCAGTCCTCGAGTTCTACGCGATTGAATCCCCCCTCGCCCAGCCGCGCAACGCCTTCTTCGGCCAGATCATCTCGGCCGTGGTGGGCGTCGCGATATGCAAGCTCTTCCTCCTCAGCGACGACTTCGAGTCCCTGCGCTGGCTCGGCGGCGCGCTCGCCTGCGCGTCCGCGACCGCGCTCATGGCGCTGACCAAGACGGTGCACCCTCCCGCGGGGGCGACGGCTCTGCTGGCCGTCACGGACGACAAGATTGTCGGGATGGGGTGGTTCCTCCTGCCTGTGATGATGCTCGGGAGCGTGCTCATGCTGTCGGTGGCGATGCTCATCAACAACCTGATGAGGCGGTTCCCTACGTACTGGTGGACGCCGGAGGATCTGAGGAAGGGCAAGCGGCATGAGATGTTGGAGACCAAGTTGTCGAATCATGGACGGGGCGCGGGTTCAGCAAAGGAGCATGGCAGTGCCGCCCAGGACGACCAGGAGAAGAAAAGCGACGAGACGGATCTGGAGGCCGGGGGGAACAGCTCGACGTGGGTATCGTCAGCTGTGAGCACCGGCAACGACACGACGATCTCGGAGTCGGATGGTTCCGAAGTTGTCGTCCGGCGCGGGCATGTAGTCATACCAGAGCACATTCTTCTGACGCAGGAGGAGAAGCTGTTTCTGGAGGAGCTGGCCAACCGTTTATGAGGCCTTCACACTGCACATTTTACCGCATGCATCAAACGATGCATTTTGTTCATGAAAAATGAGGGGAAGGGCATAGGCGCCTACCTACTTGTACTGTACATATCTCGTTTCCAGGCGCATCAATAACACAATGGCTGATTTGGTTAAAGTTCACTCACAGTAATTGGCCTCTCTCGTGACATGATTCGCACACATCCAAGGTCCTGGGCAGAACGATGCGCTTTGTGCGGCACAGTCAAAATTGATTGAACAATGGATCGTTAAAAACGTCACCCGCTGCAACAGATGATTGGCCTGTGGGACATCCACTGATGCACAGTGCTGCCTAGAGGTTCACAAAGCAAATAAGCCCCTAATTGGGCCTGACACCTGCATAAATCGGCGTCCTCCCGCGCCACAAAGCGCTGTGCAGCCGAATAATGCTTCCCAAAAGGTTACGCCGAACTCTTTAGCCCCAGATGTTGACTGATTCTGGTTGAGTTGACTCATTCACCGCCGCCAATTGAGCAGCCGCTGCACCAACGCGTGAGCAGAGTTCGCAGTAGGACGCAAACATGACGCTTCTCTTGTATAAAGTTGGCGGGCGCCGGCAACTTTCCTCTGCTTCTCTCCTCTTGGCCAACCGACATCACAGCCTGTAGAAGAGATTGGTTCGCTCCTCCTCTCTTTCGCTTGCTTGCAATCGGCCCAAACCAAAAGATATCACGAGGTGACAGAAACAAGGACATTGACCTTCACAATGGCGTCTTCGTCAGATGCTGGCCAGGAGCCCTGGTTCCTCAAGTCTTCTGTCCCTGTCTGGCTCCCACACCATGAGGCATTGACTATGCCCAACGACAAATTCAACTCGTTCATTCGCAATGAGCTCAATGCCGCTGTCATCGTCGCCCCAGAATTAGGCCCTCTCCCTGGTCGCGACCTCACGGACGCCACCTCAACATCAGGCACTCACGTCACCCCGCCTTCCACCACAGCTGACATCCGCGAGGCTGTTGATAGAATGGAGGTGGACGACAAGCTCGATTCCACAGAGCCCACCACCTCGGAGACTGCAGCTGGTGTTGAGGAGCACCCGTGGCGCGCAGCTCTGCTCAAGAACCTCACCCCACCAGCCCCTCCCAACCTAGAGAACAAGGTCCTCACAGCCAACAACGACCTCGCCCACGCATCCACCACCGATGCTTGCGTAGATCTCTTCTACGAGTTGGAGGACTCAATCTCCGGCCCTCGTCTGCGCGAACTTCTCGAGGCATCATGGAACAAGGATGACCTCCTGACGCTCAAGATCATCTTCAACGCCCGCTCAATCCACCTCGGAAAGAGCTCTCGCAACACTTTCTACGGCTGTGCTGGCTGGCTGGCCCAGCGCCACCCCCTCACCCTGATCGAGAACCTCAAGTGGCTGAGCCGCCCGGTCATCCAGAAGAAGGCCAAGAAGGAGACCGATGGTGAGGACGACGGGATGGTCATTGTCGAGGCGGAGAAGGACCCCAGCCGCCCAGAGACCTACGACGTCAAGCACGGCGTCGCCCACGGGTACTGGAAGGACATCATCAACATCCTCGCTCTGGCGGCCAACAACCAGCTCAGCGTCCTGGCCGACCCTAAGGACGTCCTCAACTCCAAGAACCCGGGTATCTATAACGGCAAGAGTATCAAGATAGTTCGGCGGCGCGGCAAGCTGAACAAGCGAAAAGGCAAGCCTGCGGAGAAGACCACTGTCTCAGATTCCAATGCCAAGAACGAGAACGAGGATGCTGTCCCTTCTTCAGACTTCAAGGTTCTGCGGCGCGCCAAGCGGCTCGAGCGAAACCAGGGCGCCGTCAAAGCCTTCACCGAGGACCGTACGTACCGCGCTCTCCACCTAGCCATCGCTCGCCTATTTGCCGAGCAGCTCGAGAAGGATCTCGGGGCCCTGCGTGGAGACGACTACCAAGCAAAGCGCACCATCTCGCTCTGCGGGAAATGGGCCCCAAGCCACGACCAGTTCCACGATAAGCACACCTTCATCGTCAGCTCCATCGCCGAGATCATGCACCCCCGCGAGTCTTTCGACAACGTCTTATCCCCTTCTGACGACAGAGACACCTACCTCCGCTACGCCCGGGAGGCATACCGCAAGGACATATCCGCACTGCGAAAGCACCTCGAGATCGTCGAGCGGGATCTCTCCGCCGGAACCTTCGAAAAAATCAAGTACGATCGTGTCCCCTCGGTAGCCATGCAGAACTACACCAAGATCTTTGTACAAAAGGACCTGGAGCGCTTTGAGAAGTACATCACTCGCGTCGCAGAGGGCAAGGCCAACATCTCCGGTGCCATCCTTCTCCCCTCGACCATGGTCGCCGCCGCGCGCCGCGCCAGCCAAACCCCCATCCACCGGGACCCATCTACCCTCTCCGCCAAGCAGCTGGTCGACCAGAAGATCCAGGAGATGCAGACCAAAGTCGACGACGGGCAGTGGAACACCCTCGTCAAGCGCATCAAGGACTCGGGCGTCCTCGTCTCCAGCATCGCCGTGTGCGACGTCTCCGGCAGCATGGGATGGCCGCAGCAGACCGACGGCACCACGCCCATGGACTCGGCCATTGGTCTGTCGCTCCTCATCGCGGAAGTCACCGAGCCCCCCTACGGCGGCGCCTTCATCACCTTCAGCTCCGAGCCACGGGTGGAAAAGGTCGACCTGAGCAAGCCGCTGTCTGAGAAGGTGGCGCAGCTGGAGCAGTCCAGCTGGTCGATGAACACGGACTTTGAGGCCGTGTTCCTCAGCCTGCTCCTCCCCATGGCGCGGGAGCACAGCCTGAAGCAGGAGGACATGGTCAAGCAGGTCTTCGTTTTCAGCGACATGCAGTTCGACGAGGCCAGTTCCAGGCAAGACCGATGGACGACGAGCTACGAGCGGGTGAGGAAGGCGTACGAGGAGAGCGGGTATGAGGTGCCTGAGCTCGTGTTCTGGAACCTTGCGGGTGGTTCGCACTCGGGCCAGGCTCCCAAGCCTGTGACCACCGAAGATGAGGGGACCTGTCTGATGAGCGGGTACTCGCAAGGTCTGCTGAAGGCGTTCCTCGAGAAGGGGGGATTCGAGGACGATGAGGAGGAAGAGGAGGAGGTGGTAGTGACGAAAGATGAGGGCGGCGAGGTGACGGCCGAGACGGTGAAGCAGAAGAAGAACCCGATCTCCATGGTGAAGAAGGCGGTGTCGCACGAGGCGTACAAGATGCTACGAGTTGTTGACTGAGTTGACTTCCGGTTCTCACGGCCCTGTTCTCATCTATTTTATGTATGATACCCTGCATTGCTTCCGATGCAAAACTCAAAAAAGTGAAAGAGTTATAATTAGAATGAAATGATGAATTAACGCCTTGAGATTCGTAATTTATTATCTAGACCGGACCAATCAAACATGCCGACATTCTTGTGAGTGAAGTGAAGCTAAACATACCAACCAACCCATCTCTTCCCAACCAGACGCACGCTATCATGAAGTCCCAAAAAGCAATCAAAGACGAGGAAGAAAACAATCCTCCATTGACTAATCATCCGTCAGACGAGTCACTCCCATTCAAGAGGTCCTCCGCCTCAAACGCCACGAAAATACTGTCCACCATCCTCAGGAACCTCTGGCGGTACTCCTCCGGCTCGGCGGTGATGCTCATGGGGCCCCTCCGGGCCACGACGTTGAAGGCCTCGACGAGCCCCGTCATGGCCCTGGCGCGCAGCTTGCGCTTGCACCAGAAGAAGTCGAGGACGACGGCGCGGTAGCGCCACTCGCCCTTGACGTCGTCGACGCCCTCGCGCCAGGGGCTGGGGAAGGACCCCGTGGGCGCCCTAGGCGGGGAGGGGATGGAGGAGGGGTGGCGGACGAGGAAGAGGGAGTAGTCGACGGCGGAGTGGGAGGCAAGGAGGCGGGTGTCGCGGGAGAGGAGGTCCATGAGGGAGCGCTTCGCCGCGGGGGGCACGCGGATCTTGTGGGGGACGATGTCGACGAGGCCGTCCTTCACGCGGGTGGGGGCGAGGCGGCCGTTGGCGAGGTCGCGCTCCGGGAAGAAGTAGTCGGCGGGCTTGAGGTCGAAGGACTCCCAGCGGCGGTGGGGGGAGGCGTCGTCGAGGGAGGAGGAGGACGGGTCGGTGGAGGGCCTCCCGTAGAGGAGGTTCTCCATGACGATGTGGTGGGTGGGCGCGGTGCCGAGCGCGGCGCCCAGGGAGGGGCGGGAGGCGTAGACCATGTCCGTGATGCGGACGAGGAGGGAGTCCGGGTGGGCGGTGTTGTGGGAGAGGTAGGGCCCGCAGAGCTCGTGGGTGAAGAAGGTGTGCTCGAAGCGGCGGGGCAGGGACTTGATGAGGAACCGGGCGTCCGGGGTGGTGAAGAAGGTCGAGCCGCTGTAGCCCAGGTCGCCGATCGGGATGAGCTCGGCCGCGCGCGACGACGAGGAGTAGGCGTTGCGGAAGGAGTCGAGGTACTCGTCCTCGTCGAGCTGCCAGGCGGTGCGGCGGAGGGCCAGGAAGTCGGCGGGGCGGTAGCGGACGAGCCACAGCCGGAAGAGGGAGAAGAAGGCGATGATGGCGCGCAGGATGCGGCCGTGGCGCCTGTGGCTGTCTGGGGGCTCCTGGTCCTGGTAGATGGCGTGGGCGACGGACGCCGAAATGCGTGAAGCCCGTATTTTCATTGTTGGCCTTTCTGAAGCTACGGTGAAGACGGACTGGCGTAGTGTAGATCAAAGATCAGACAGAATGTAGTGACAGGCCCAGAGAAGACCGGCGCAGGCTCACGCGCATGACAGGCAATGAAGGAGTATTTGAGGCAAAAGCAACGGCAGAAAGCTGACGACGACGCTCAGAATGTTTCCATCCGGTCCGAGGAATGTCTTATCTCAAGTCTCGCCTCGTCTCATGTCGAGGTCGCAGACAGTCAGCTTCGGTGACGTCATACCGCGCTGTCCGACACGAGGGAAGGCGCAACCACGCTTGAACTCATGCGGTCACGTGTTACCCTGACAGTTGCATCTCTGCTCTCCTTCGCCTCAGAGCCTGCCAGATCGACAGTCGCATTCACATGCCCAGGCAACCATCCAGTCGCTTTCAACCTGACGAATCACTAAAGTGACGCCATTACGAGTGCGCTCTCACCTCCATTCCAGTTTCAGCTGGCAGGGTTGCATCGATAGAAAAAACATGTCAATTTCTCCCAAACTCTCCCCACCTCACTAATCATGTAGGTCTAGCTACAGCCGGCCGGCATGCATCGTCACAGTCCCACCACCACCTTTTATTCCTGGTCATCGGGATGGAACACCAGGGCACGGACTTCAATGCTCTCCCTCGCCGGCGCATCCTCCTTGGCCGTCGGGTCTACAAACGCCGTGTGCGGCACCCGCCTCGCCCTCCCGTCCGTCTTGCTGTCGAAGCACTTGATCAGGATCACCTCGTCCGGCTCCAGCCCGGACTTGTAGAACCACCTGTGCCCGTCGTTGTGCTTCACCGCGTACGTCTCGCCGTTGCGCGTGGGGTAGATGAGCGGGATCCCCACCAGGTCCGCGTCTGGCACCGAGTGCGCCTCGGCGACGGCCAGTGGGTCGCGCTGGATCGTCCGGATGGGGCGCCAGACGTTGATGATCTGGTACCGGCCGCGGAGCAGCGCGTCCGCCTCCTCTGGGAGGTGGTGAGGCACGCGGGACTTGGCGGCCGAGTAGGACTGGTCGATGTGCACGCGCTGGACCGGGCCGCGGAGGTTGCGGCCTTGCTTCTCCGAGCCGGGTGGGTTGCGGCGGATGGTGTGGTCGAAGATGAAGATGCGAGATGCGCCCGTGCTGATGAGAAACATAGGATATCAGTAAATGAAAATAACTTGCCAGGTACGTGAGGGATCTGACTTACGCATCCTTCAGGAGTTGCTCGGTCTCGGGGTAGTAGACCGCCTTGATATGCTCATCATCTGCGAAGTCCTTCTCGGCTGCTGCACGGCGATAGATCTCGAATCCATTCTTATCCAGGGTGTAGAGGTGCTCCTCGCCTCTCACATCATGAACAGTAGCATCGTGAGACGAATAGGGGCGTTCATATGACTCTGGGCGGTCAACATAGGAAGGCCGAGGTGGGGAACCATCCTCGTTATCCTTGTGATAGTTCAGCACTGTCCTCACGTCTCTCTTGTCCGTATACTGAGCGAGAGTGGACAACTGCTCTGTCTGCTGCTGAGGGTTGGCCAGGCCGATGCCTCCTGGTACAACAGAATGCTGGACTGCAGCTGCGGCCATGTTGGTCTGTCTGAATGTTCTTGATTGGTACGAGATTGGTATGATCAGATTGGTTTGCTGAACACCTTTGATTACTCTGCCTTTCTAGTTCTTAGCCGGGTCAGCCGTCGAAGGCTATTTATACGTTGATCCAAGACGTCACATCATCAATGCCAGCCTCCCCGCAAAGCACGCAATTCCTCAGCGACAACACCAAATGCGTCGATTGATAATCATACCCAATGAACTCCGCACAAACGATCTTGACACAGCGTCCCGGTGTGGCTCGCACCCCAATCAGGAAACGTATCAACAGGACTTGATTTCAAATACACGGCCAGACTTGTAATCTACGCCCTCCAGGTTGCATAGTCACATGCCTGCACGACACATTATCGGATCATGTAGACGGTTTGATTTTCAATCAACTTTCATCAATCGTAAACTGGCATTCCTTGCGTGCTACTAACTGTCCGTGGAGGTATCCATGCCGCCTGAGCGGCTCATCTATTCTAGCATGGTCTATCGATCGCCTGGTCACTGCGGTTTGTGGACAAGTCTAGTAATAGAAGTTCCATCGTCCAACAAACCCGTCTCCTCCTCCAAGGTATATCCCCTCCACCTGGGGATCAAAAGAGTCCATAGATACCAATAAATAACACCTGCAACAAGACTGGAAAGTTCTGTTAGTCGCTGACTGAAAAGAACGCGATTCGAAGGGCTACACTTACATGCTCACTCCAACTATAGCATAAGTGGCGTAAAACATCCCATTTGCCGGCTTCTCAGACGGCGGGGAGAAAGGTGCCGCCAGGAGCGCAACGCTCAGGGCGATCTTTATAAGTACGGCTGGGGTCCAGGCTTTGAATGGCCTTCTCAAGTCCGGTCGTTTGAAACGAAGTAGAAGCAGGCCAGAGCAGATGGCAAAGCTGAATATCTGTCCCGGATAACCCTCCAATTCAAGGATGAAGGAGTATACTTCGGCCGATGGTGGCAGTACGATGACGAGCAGAGACGGGATGAAGTGGACGACGAATCCGCCCAGGGGTGAGCCGAATGGCTTGGTCGAGGATAGGAGATGTGAGTATGGGAGGAATCCCTGTCTGGCGATCTCTTGCTTCAGACGGGCCTTTGAGTGGGTTAGTACACGAAGCTCTCGAGATAGATAGGAGTTGGAAGAAAACTGACCTGGGCAAATGCAACGACGAGTACGTTCCCGACCGCTGACAGCGCCACAGCAAGAGGCAAGGCTGTCTTGCCAAAGCCATGCCCAAAGATGCGCTCGAAAAACAGAGCAGCGATGAGCTCGCCGCTCTCTTTGATCTCGTCCACGGGGACGACCAAAAGATATGCCAGATTAATGAGGATGTAGAGCCCACACGTCGTAAACAACGCTGCGGTCGTGACGGACTTGAGCGTCCGGACAGGCTCCTTGACCTCGTTCAAGACGTTGCTGACGTTGTCAAGACCGGCAAATGAATAGAGGACCTTGAAGAAGGACGTGGCAATGGTGCCCCAGTTCCACACGCTGTCCTCCCAGAGATGGTCCCACGATAACTGGTCGCTCACTGGAGGAGAGCTGCCGGTGGTCGCAGTACCGGGGCGGAATACCAACACGTATATCCCCGACAGGATCATGAAGCCCACGATAGCAATCTTGACCCAGCCAAGAACGTTCTGCAGCCGGATGCCCGTCTTTGGGAAGACACCATGGGTCACGGTGACGAACACCAGCAGCCCAGCCGCCAGTCCCTTTCTCAACACCTCGCTCGGGTGGTCGATGCCCAGAGCGAAGAGCACGTATTGGCTAAACACGACGCAATTACTCGCCGTGAACCCAAGAAGCACCGCCTGGATAGCCACCAGCGTGGAGGCCAAGAACCGAGGGTGTCTGTACGTGAATTCCAGGTACACCTTTTCCCCTCCCGAGCGAGGGAGCATGCATCCATACTCGAGCGACACGGACAAGCCGCAGGCAGCGATGACAGCGCCGACGAGCCACAGCACAAGGGTGAGTCCGGGACTACCGACAGAACGCAGGATCACACCGGGCGTCGCAAATATTCCGCTCCCGATAACCCTCGACATGACGATGATGAAGGCGCTCTGCCAGGTGAGCGTGCGTCCGAGGTTGGATATCTCGGGCAGTACATCGTCCTCGACGGCGCGGGTGGGGTGGACGTCCCCCGTGATGATGTCCTCCTCCTGGATGACCCTCGTCTCGGGCCGTTTATCGCCATCTTCGCTGTCTCTAGCCGTCGTGCTGGACGAGGGGGAGGAAGAGCGCGACGGCTCGTTGTCCTGTCGTTGGAGGAGGGGTCGGAGCTCTGGCGGAACGGGACCAGCCATGATGCCTACTGATTAAATCGCCGAAAATCCAAGTCTTCTAATCTTACCATTAGAGCGTCAGATCAATAGACATGCAGCATGATACTCTTATGAGAAGTTACACCAGCAGGCAACAAGGAGAGGTCCGCGCCTCCCGCACATGTGAGTCGTGATTGACGTCGCAGACATCGACATATGGCGTTTTCCGCTTCCAATATGGCGAGGTGAGACAGCGGCGGGCCAGGCGGCAATCCTGTCATCTTCCCCTTTGGTAGGTAGGACCTTCTCGCCTGGGAATTGGTGGGAACGGCATTTTCTTGATTTCGAATCAAGGGTGATCTACGCGGCTGACTTGGCCATGGCGCGAAACCATCGTGGTCGCACGCCATCGCTCAACGCCCCCGTCTGGCGCCCGCTCAAATCACCAGGCCGCGCCCCATGACAAATAATAGCGGTTAGGCCTAGATCTGTCCCTTGTATGGTGATCCATCGCTGCCGGGGCTATTTCATAACATGAGCGTTTGGTGGTCAGCCGGATGATAGCTAACTCTAGAAGAGGTGTTTCAGAATCACACTCTGGCAACTAGGCGACAGAAGAAATGCGACAACAAAAGGGAAGGCGGCTATGAGAAGTATCAAATGATACCAATTATCAGTAATACCGGTCGCAGACTCGAAATAAGCAGTGTAATGTTGGGATGTCTAGATTTAACGCGGTTGTCTGAGCGGACCACCATCCTTCCAGTCCATGTGAGATCATGGTGGAAGATACGGATTTACCAGCCGGGAGCCACAACGTCGTTTGGTTGGCTGTGATATGATAGATATCTATCTAACAATGTCTATAAAATACGCTTCATTAACGGCCGCTGGCAGAGTCAAAGCTGCCCGCAGAACTAAAGCTAGCGACACTGCCTCGTCGTTTTATCTCTGGCAATGTTCTACTGCCTCGTCTTTTTACCTCTGGCTTTTTTATTTCCGGGCTCTGACCTTCTTTCGGGACAATTCCCATGTCTTCCATGGCCCGGACCCAGGTGTAAAGGCCCTCGATCGGGCTTTGACTTGCATCCTTATCTTCTCGAAGGATGCGCATTCGATCCCAACCACCGTCTAAATAAAGTCGTCTGACGATTCTGATGGGATTCGCATCATATTTTTGAGCAAGATGAGCATGAGTGAAAAACTCCGATGTCACATACAGCAGAAGAGCAGGGTGGTCATCCAGAGTTTGAGTATGTACGGAGGCTGACGTTTTGATTGATCCGTTTTCCACAGCATCATCTAATCCACGATCCAGGTCTCTTTTGCTCGCCGAGATCCATTGAGGAATATCAATCGTCCCGTCTGCGACCTGGCTGGAGCCAACCATCTCCGAGAGAGGGAGTTTTTGAGTCGTTCTTGATGGTAGCCCCCGTTCAGCATGCTTCCTTTTCAAAGAACCATCGTCATCGCAGTCTTGCCATGTCAATAAGTTTTCTCGCCTCACGGCCTCCTCCTCTTTGTCGGTCGCCTGGCCAGGTTCAACAAGCAATGGGCCCCCGGTAACATTTGCCAAAGTTTCGAAGGCGATCAGCCTTTTGTTCATTTCCTTATTGCCTCTTTCCAAGCCTGCAATGCTTTCTTCGAGTCTCTGGATATGCTCAAGTGCGCCATCGAGTATCTTCGCCTTGCTAGGCTTAGGCTGTCCCGCCTCTCCAGTGGTGGTGTCGGCACTGTTGTCCACAGACATTCGGTCATCATCATGCTCCATGGTGAAATATGGCATGTTGAGTGATGGAACTACGGCACGTAGAGCGTCGATTTTTGCGCCAATACCGATTCTATATCTCGGCATCGCGGAGATGGCTCGTTCTGGAGTTTGGGCAACCTTGCTCCAACTAGGTTCGACACCGTCAGACAAACCCATGTGTGTTTTCAATGCTGTTGATCTCAAATACGGTTCGGCGCGGGCCACACGTTCCGCTGCTCGTCTTCGGGCTTCTACCAGAGCATCCAACTCTCTAATGCCAATGTAATCCAGTGCCGAGTTCATAATGTATAGGTGGCCTTCCGCCATGTGCTGATGGCTCAAAACATCATAGGGCGAACTCCAACGGGCACCTTGGTGAAGAATTGGGAAGCCATCGCCATTTTCGAAAAATTCGCGGACGGATTGATGAATGACCTGCACAACCCGAGTCTCACCAGTATCTAAATCAAGAGATCCTGCGCCGGCACGCATTGAACTTGAGTCAGCATTGTCGCCCTGTGACGCGATAGGCCGGCCTGTCACTTCGATTAATCCCTTGGATATGGCCTTGATTTGCCTTTCAAGCTGGTCGTCGTCCTCAGTAAAGCTGTCCGACTCTCGCCACTCGTTCAAGGAGGAGAGCCCCGGTTGCTTGCTAAATGCTAGAATGTGATGCCACTCGCGAAGCCGTAGCGGCTTGACGGCGAGTATTGCCCAGCGAAACAGCTTGATAGCCAAGGCATTGGAAGCTGTGGTTGAGCCCCCAAGGAGCTGTGAGAACAAGCTGCTTAGGCTCTCCGGCACAAGTTCCAACTGCGAAAGTATATGTCTGGGGTGTTCTCCTTCATCCCGCATTCTCAGGGCATTCTCGACCACAAGAACTACCCATAGGAACACCCCTGTCGACTTCCGGATGATCGTGCGCCTTATTTCTTCCCATTTTCCCTCCTGCCTTTCAGAAACACACGGGAGCTTCTGTTTCACGTATGTTGCAATATCGGGATCATTATGATGTTCCACGATCACCTCAGCACAGTTGTCAAGACCGATGACGGGATACTGTCTGATTGAGAGGCAAACATTCAACCGGGATCCCTTCTTGCGAGCCTCTCTGGTCGCAAGGCGCCAAAAAGAAGCTTGCGAACGCATCCAATCCACATGACATTCATCGAGAGCGTCGATGAAAATCGTGATGTCGAAGGGGATTCCAGTGTCAAATACTGACATGAAGATCCCTTGAAGTTGTCTTGTAGACCACTGATAAGGTTTCTGCTCACTCGCATCTTCTCCGGAGCCTCTATGAGCCCATACGTCACTTACGTCTCTAAATCCCCGCCTAAGTCTTGGGAACAGTTGGCAAAGCAGCGAACGGTAAAGGCCAGCGGGGGTTTTTTGCAACATGGTGCCCTTGTCATCGAAGAAGAATGCTGCTGTGGCGCAATTACTACCCAAGACGGACCGCTCTTTGGAGCTGCGTCGGAACGCCTCTTTCATCAAAACCGATTTCCCAGCCCCCGGCTTGCCCTTTAAAAAAAGAAGACCCTGGTACACATCTTGATCTCTATTTTGAAACCAATTCCGGTATGTTTCGTTATAGAATAGCCAGTCACAGGTATCTTCGGCCGGACTCTCGACTGTCTGGTAGCGGAAGTCTATCCCGGGGAACCAAAGGTCCTCAAGAAGTTTCTTATCAGTCCCAGTCAGTTGCTCATCAGGCCAATGCCCCGACACTTTCGGGATAGAACTCTGAGTAGGCATGTTGGCCTTTGGATAAATTTCCATAAGCTCACTCCGGCCAAAGTTGCGGGAGTCAAAATCAACGATGGAACGGTAGATGGAGCAAATCTCTCCCCCAACTTTACGATAGTTGGGATCGTCATGCCCAAAGAACCGGCACATATTCTTATGATTTGCCTGGAGGGTCTCCGCACATTCTCGATAATCGCCAATAAGGGAGGAGCTATCCGGGACCACCTTGTTTCCGAGAACACCCAGGTTGATGCCTCTTAGGCCCAACCCCTCCTGGAATGTTTTGATGCGAAAATCGTACCTCTGCCAGACGGCCGAGAAGGCCTCCTGGGCTCTTTCCAGGTCCGTGTTCTTCATACCAAGGGCATCAAGGATGTCAGATGTTGTCTGTATGCGAAAAGCGCTGATGAATGACCGCGCCCACTCGCCAAAGGAAGCAAGATCCGGACTTCCTCTGTGGGGTGTGCCCAGAAACACTACAGCAGACGTCGATCTGACAACATCTTTATACTCAGATGTTGGCCAAGAGGAAGATATCGCAAGCATCTGAGATTATTGTCAGCAATCTCTTTGCCTAGAAAGTAGAATTGCCGTCGCACCTCTTTGACAACTATGCCACCCAGACTGTGGGCCACAAAGATGAGCCGACGACCAGCAGGTCGTTCGCGCATGAGAGCAAACAATAGATCCTTGCTGTGAGAATGGAGACTGTTCTGGTTTGTCGCACCAGAGGTGTACTTGGTGACTTTGCTATCGTAGCCGAACACAAGGACCCGTGCTTTTGGGCATCCGCTTGGGAGAAGGTCTCGAGGCCAGAAGACGCATGATGATTCTCCGTTCTGCGAGCCCTGTGCATGAACGTGCGTCTCTAATGCGTGTGTCTCTGATGATTGACGTGCAATGTGGGTATTTTCGGACTTGCTGCCTCTAAACAGCGGGATTACTCGATGTGATATCTTTTGCTTTTTGCGCTGGTTGTCCTCGTCTTCCTCCAACACATCTTCCTGGTCGTGAGGATCCTTCTTGTATATCCAAGTTTTATAAGGGTGGCCGTGCAAGCCATGAACGACCACGATGCTAAAAGAGACATAAGTCTATATCCAGGCTCTTCACATCACCGACAAATACATGGTGGACCTACTCTACGAGGGGAGAGCATCGTTCCGGCTCGTAAGCCACAGATATACCTGTGTCCAGAATGTGAGCCGGCATCCTTCATACTCAGAGCCCACCCTCACGCCGAGAGAATGTGTCGGGTGGTCCCAGTGAGCGTGGTTTATCAGGGATCAACTTCGCAACAGACAGCGATTGAGGCTGAGTACGAGATTACGCCGCAAGCCCTTAGTCGAAAGCCTGGGATGCAGGGAATGTTACACTGCATAATGCGATCAGCAGCATCACGTGAAGCCAGCGGCATCGGCCCAGTCTAAACTGATGGGCTATTGGGCCCATATGTGCGCGTAGCCGCGAGGCCAAAAGCCTACCAGGAGCTTCAGGTTGTAAATTCCGATTAAAGGAAATGCTGATCTGGAAATTCTCACACTCAAAAGCATGGTATATAACCAAGCGTCTTCTTATGATTCACATGAATGCGCTGTTCCAAGATAGGGTATCGAAATTTCCTTGAACTACTATTAAACCTTTTGACCATCACCCAGCTTACCCAAGATGAGTCTTCTTTCTCGAAGTCCTCGTGTAGTGCGCGTACTGCCACTCAATATCCCCCTCTTTAGCCTCGATTGTTGCGTTCCTGATCTCATACACACGCATCGTCATCCGTGGTCCAACTTCTGAAAGCTGGAGCTGATCGAAGCCAACTCGCACGTGAATATGGTGTCTCACTTCGATGCTGTCGTCCTCCAGCCGCTTGAACGTAACTACTCGATTACTAGTCTTCATCGCCCCGTCCCTAGGGGGAAACAGGTGTGTCAGAATGCGCTGCACACGCTTTCCGAGCTTTGTGGTGAAGCCTTCAAATATCAGGTTCGGATATGACTCTGGGATGGTGCCTTTCAGATACCCGGGAAGGTCGTGACGTGCCATGACGTTGTGTAGACTGAATGAAATAGTTGGGCCATGGGGCAAATGACTGATCGTCATGGAGGTAGGTGTGCCTCTTGTTTCTCCCAAGTGAATGATGTCGGTGAGGCCGGCAGCCTTGGCAGCACGTACCAGCTCCGCCATCGTCATCGTACCACGATTGATGTATGTGCCTGTCGGGAGCAGGAGTCGGATCTCCTTGGAGAAAGTGTTGAGTTTGCTCGAAGGCGAGCGGGAGGTGGTTACAAGGATTCGGGGATCCTGGATCCCGGAAAGAGCCTGGTACTCGTCGTCCAGCAGCGCGAGATCGTTCTCGGCCGTCTCATCATAAGCGTAGTCCTTGCGCAGTTGCTTGTCGTCGGCAATTTCGGCGGCCAATGGCTTGCCAGAGGCCAGAGACTCTCTCAGCTTGGCTCGTCGCTCAGCCGTAGCGCTCTCTTGAAGAGCCAATGCTCGCCGGTGAAGGTAGTCCCTTCTTTGCCGGGCTTGTCTTCGTACCTATTGGATCGCATTTTGATTAGCAGTCTGGCTCAAGGGACCAAGACGATCAAGCGACTCACCATAGACATTTTGCTTTGTGTATGCGGTTGCTGATTATTTTCTTAATCGATAGCAAGCGTCGCGAAGGAAAAAAAAAGCCTGTGACGATCTGCTTATCTCAGCCATTTTGGCCCCACCTCTGTGGCGATAAGATAGCGATAAGATAAGAGGTCCACATTATTTTCCTCCTCGAGCTCGGCTTGGAGTAAATGTGAACAACCCAATGCTTCATGTGTATCAATCAATACACAACATCATTCTATTCATACCCCACGGGCCAGATTGGCCTTAGCTGCAAATCTTTCGGGTGAAAAGCATAGCATCGAATCAGCGTTTCCCCTATATCTTCATAGATCTAGACCAGCTCTAACCAAGCTGTCCATCACGTCTTCTTGAAGAAGACGTGTTGCAAGACAACTCCTCCAGAAGAAGCCACATGTCTTCATCATCCCAAGTCAAATTGCGTGATCACTAAATTACTGCGCCGGAAGATAAGATACTTACAATTTCTAGTACCCCCGGACCAAGAATGCCATCACATCTCATAAAACCATCCGCAAAGGGAGACTCACGATCCCCTCATCACGCTTCCATCCTCCAGACAACCCCGAGTCCCAAAGTCCAATTTAATTAGAAATTTGATTCTCGGATCCCCTCCGAGCCATGCATAATCTCCTCTCCCTTCATCCCCCCTATGTCTCAAGCCAAACTTCCCCACGAGAACTACAATCACGCCTTTCCCCAGAAACAAAATGTCTTCCCATCACATGAGCTTTCTTTCCCGTCCCCCCGATCCAAAACCTCGCCGCCAGGCGGCATTCTGGACGGAGATTGGAAGCCGAGACGCCGCCTCCCCCCCTGCGATCTAACAATGCCGGAAACTTTTGACGTAATTCCTGGTCCGAGTTTCTCAGCCACCAGTCGACATTGTCCACGGTAGAGCATTCCACCGCCCCCACCCCATTTGTCGCCCCCAGACTGCCGGCCGGTTCGTCAGTCTGGGCCGACGACCTCCAGAGCAGGGCGATCGACAGCGAATCATTTTTACACATGCACGGCGGTTACACAAGTCGGGAGAACTGAAGAAGATGCTCGTCGTAGTGATAATATTATTCTTGTTCTTAGCAGCTGTTTCCGCTTCGTAGTATGATCCGATAAAAATATCCAATGAGTGAATGCATGCCATGTACCCAAAATTCCCAAGCCAATCCGTACCATATTTTCATCCGTTTACTAGTATCTATGCCTGCTCGTTCCAAAAAACACCAAAAATAAGCAATTTCCTTTTTCCCAGGATAACAATAATCTCTACCAAATTTATTCTTTCTCAATGTGAAAGCAATGAAGATAGCAGGAGTAGCAACCATAATAATAACGGGACCAAGGCCCGTTCGCTGTCAATAAAATTTATGTGATAACATTTTGAGCCCGTAGTATAAACCTCCCCTCCCATGGGAGATGGAGTGGTTGGGCGGGTAGGAAAATAGGGCTCAGCCCATATTTCCAGGGATTCTGTATCCCAAATCTTGGCTTCTAAAAGCTGAAAAGACCGCTCCTGCGTTTACCCAGGGGGTAAACAATCAGGGCGCTCATGAAGAGACCGACACTAATGCTGATGGCCACCTGAATGACACTGAACAGTACATTGAATGCAGTCCCATCAAGGTTATTGGTGGCAGTCGTGTCGGTTTTCTTGCCGTTGGTAATCTCATTGGCAGAATTGATGCCGGCCAGGAGGGAACCTCCTGCCGCGAGACCACTAGGAACCTGTACAAAAATAGCGGGAAGCATGGCCGCCGCTGCCAGGCTGTAGCCGGCTGGTCTCTTCTTTCGCGGTGGCTCTGCCTCCACAGGCGACACTGGTCGAGATTCGGGGTCGGACATGCCCCAGTCCTCGCTGGCCTTCCTGTTCATTCTTCGCCTCCTGCTCTTGGAGAAGCGGGGGAGTACCTTGTACTGCCACCAATCCAGCAGATCCAGCCAGCCATGTTGGATGTGCCCTCCAAGTCGTGAATAAAGGTTGGAGAGGAGACCGACAGCGAGAGCGCCCAGCATGTTGGAGATCTGGTTGTTGTTGAAGTAATCGCTGGTGTAGCTGTTGACACAAAAGCCGGCCAGGGATATGATGAGCATTACCGGAGTTTGTTTCCATTGGGCCTGGTTGACGATGCACAAGCAGAGAGTGAATCCAGGCACAAAGAAGAAATTCCATTCACGAACCAGTGGATTGTCACATGTAGTTGCGCTCGTTGGATTGGAGTCGAGCATACCGTACAGTGAGGCCCCAATGGTAATGCCGTATCCGAGAAACAGGGTGTAAATCATGGCGTGAACCATACGAACACTACCAGCGACAAGGTTTTGGCTCTGCAGCTCCAGCGAGCTGCACAAGACCATGTATCCGGGGAGGATCAATGCAATACTGCTCTGGGCCAACGCGCTGAAGCAGAAGGTCTTGCCACCATTGATGGAACCAAACCCACGGGCAAGGAATGATGTTACCACGGATGCAGAAACTTCAAAGACGTGGGCATATAGATCGTTGCTCGGGGCAAGAACCAGCTGGAGCACTCCGACAATGCAGCCGAGTAAAAATGCAAGCGGCAGGTCGATGAATCGGCCCTTGAACGCGAATGGAGCCACACAAACCGATGCGACACCGTACATGAACACACGGAACCAGACATTGAACTTCGGGGCGCGGTTCATAACTTCGTCGAGTCTCTTCGTCGCCTCCTCCACACTAATCAAGTCGTGCACAACGTCCTTATAGATAATGTGGACGTCTCGGAGACGACCTAGGTCGACACCCTGCGGCACACGAACAAGCTTAACTTCTGTTGTGTGGGTAGTGCTGTCGTCGAAGCTGATGATCATGCAGGATGGGATGTACAGAAACTGTCCCTCGATCTCGAGAACGCGGGACGACATCATCATGTACTCCTCCAGGCGATGAGTCGGTGCCCCGTACATCATGAGTGCTCGGCATAGCTTAATAAGGTATCGGTGGCGGAAGATAATGCCCGCAATGTGAACGGTGATGCGGGCTTGGTCTTTCTTTGGCTTTGGGGGGTGCTGGGCGGCATTCTCGCGACGGATTTGTTCGGCCATACGGTCGGAGAGCTCGCTGGAGCCCGGTGCTGCGAAGATGGACGACGACTTCATGAGTTCAGTTAGGGTAAGAGAAGATCCTGAGTTGTGCGACCGGTGGAGGCTGAACAAACCGCTAGAGCGCTTAGACCTTGGGGTTCCAGATCGAGATACAGGTCTCGAGGTCGGGGGTGAGGGCCGTGGCGAAATGACGGGAGTTGAAGGATTGGTCGTAGGTGTGTTGTTCCCAGTGCTGCCATGTCCTCTTCCTCCTCCAGCGGATCTATCATCGTGATAGAGCTTGAGGAGCGAGGAGAGGACTCCTCCACGGTATTTGCTGGGTCGGGGCACATAGTCATGGACATAGTTTTGCTGAGCAACGGGAGTTGAGGTGCCAGACGTGGCCCGGGGAAGGTGAGGGTTAAAGAGATCTTTTCTTCCCTTGCGCGAGAGTGAACGAACGAGCTTCTCGGCTATTTCATGCTCGTCCAAAGTGGCAGCATTAATGGCTTCATATTCATCTGGGGAGACTTTGTGGGGGGCACGACGCCGGAGATTCACATCGTCGGCGGAAACACCAGCTTGACCCCGATTAGAAACGCCGCCACCAGCAGCACTGGGGCCAGACGTGACAATTGGACGTAGCATAGGTGGAGCCCCCCTTGCGGGTTTCGATCTGATCACCTTTTCCTCGTCATCATCATAGTCGTCGACTATAACAGCAGGACGCGGGCTTCTTCCAATGTGGGGGTCATCTGAGTCGCTGAGCAAACTCTGGAATGAGGCACCAAGGTCCTCAGAGTTTCGTCTGGAACCTGGGGCAGAGTGACTACCCAATGAAATGGCAAGCTTGTCTGCTCTATTTCTCGCGTCGTTTATGGATCTCAGGGTCCTCTTGTCCGCTAGTTGCTCGGCTTTGTCGGCCTCCTCCTGCTCATGAGGTACATCATAGCTCGTGTTGCGTCGTAATGCCGGTCGTGGGGGATGGATTCCAAGCGCGCGGTTGGCAGCAGGGTCCAAATCAGGTAGCAAGTGAAACTGAGGCGACGGTTGGTCGACGACGGTGTTATCAAACGACTCGTCCGACAAGACTTTGGTGAGCTTGCGGCTAAGCTCAAAAGCGTCCGGGCCGCCCGGACTTAAGGCGCCAGCAGGGAGCTTGGGAGAAGCTGATGGGGATAGGGTTGAGAGGTCAAATTGGCTGGCTGATTCTCCTCCAGTACCACCACCTCCACTGCTGCTACTGGTGTGCCAACCGACGCGCTTCTTCTCTTTGCGGGCCGGCGTTGGGACATCACTGGCCCTACCGCTGTCCCTGCCGCTGTCCCTACCACTATCCAACAGCTCGGCCGACATGGCCTTGGCCGTCTGTGTCTCTCCTTGGGTTATTTCGTCGATGTTGGTATAAGTGAGCCCAACCAAGGCACGCTGTACGTAACTCCTTGTTGCAGAGGCTGTTGACGATGCCTGGATTCCGATCGATTGACCCTGAGACTTGTCTCAAGAGGCCCAACCCGAATAGGAAAAGAGCTTGGAGCTTGACGGGGAGATGTCTCTGACTACTCTCTGAGCTCAGGTAGGCGAGGAATTGTTCAATGAACGTGGGCCAAAGAGGCTTCGAAAGAGCACACGAAGATGCTTCTACAAACCCAGGAGACAGAAGGAGAGTCGGCCAGGCGGGCACAGAGAGGATAGACTTCATAACGACGGAGCAAGCGGTGGTAAAAGCGGGCCACTGGGCCTTCCCGCACACGAAAACACATCAGCCTTCTCCACCATGATCGATGCTCGTTGCTCGCGAACAGACTGAGTGGTTGAGGTGTAGCGAAGTGGCCCATCAAGGGAGCCCCTCAGTGGGAAGGGGACCAGGCATGGTCATGGATGGCGAAAATGTGACTTAATTAGGCGCGAGATAAGAAGGCTGTGGGTCGCCGCAGACACTCCGAGACAGAAAAGAGGATAACATTCCGTAGATAGTTGACAGCCTTCCTGGCATGGCAGCGAGTGGATGGTGAGTTTCGAGGTGACTGGGTTGTTGTTAGGGTGGTGGACTATTTGCGGGTTGTTATCGCCCACGAAGGAGAAAAAAAAACCTGCGGCCACACCACCAGTGTACGAAATGGTTTACGAAGACCCCACCTTGACTCTTTCCGTCCTTCGATTGTTTGCGCCTGCCGTCTTCCTCCTCCACGCATTGTTCGCTCTTCTCACACAATTCAGTGGTCAAATGCATTGGCTGGCCTGCAAAATCACCACATCTACATAATGCGTAATATTACGAGGCTGCGCACTTGGGAAGCTCGGCGGCCGATCCCCCAACGCCTGCAGGGATTAGTGGCCTACCAGCTTGTATGACGTCTGCCGCCGCAGAAGCTGCCGCAAGTTGCGCGCAAGTAACATGCGATTCCCCTCTCAGCCTGCGTTTCTTCCTTGTCGCCGAGCTGTGTATTAAGCAAAAGATCGACGCAGGAATTCGCAATCGCTACAACCGCCGCCAACATGCAGATTCGTTGCATCTGCATCGTGAAGTGTGTGGGCGTGGAAATACATGCCCTCTCTCGGCCTACTGTCGTCCGAGAGCTATCAATGCCCTCCATTCGCATGTGGGCAGAAGCCCGCAGCACACTCGCTGAAGGCTGCCAGGGCTTTTGAGACCGCTACGGGCAGCGCGAGCCACCACCAGTACGGCATCCAACCCCACTTGAGGCGGGCGTCAAACCGGGCCTCAGGTCTTCAAGAGCCACTAGAATCCACAGAAGAAGCACGCTGATCCGAGCCGCTGGGTCCCACCGCCCCTGGTTGATGGACGCCGCGGCCGTGCGTGGGCTCTGAAAAGCTGGTCTCACAGCCACCCGCTAGCGGGACCCTGGCAGCCTCAGCAGCCACGACGCAAGCTCTGTAGCTCACCACGCTAGAATCGCAAATCGCCTGCAGGCCGAGCAAGGATTTCCAGGTCGCCACTGAAGATATTTAGGCTAGCTGTAAGACAAGGGACCGGATCATGAAGAGCTCAGACACTCCCGAACCATCCATGGTTGGGAACATCTCAGCTTAGCCGTGATAAGAAGCTCCCGCGCACGCGGTTTTGGGTTCTCTGACTCATTAGTATCACGCATTGATACGACTAGTTCTACCAGGCAACCTGGTTAGCATTGCGTGGTTCATGCGCCTCTGTTCCGGATCCCAGGCTGGCGTTCCCGTCCCTTCTACAAATCTCGCGGGCGCTATAAATGGTTGCTGGCTGAGGATGTTTGAAATCAGGTCTGTTATAGGTGGCTCACCTTTGCTTTCGGGGAGCTCGGAGAGGGTTTGAGGTGGGAATCTTTATGGCCCCTCGATCTCGGGATACCCTAATGGGCAATAGCGCAGCGGCTCTGCGTCCATCACATGTGGCGCCGCAGACCAGGTCCAGCTCTGCATGTTATGCTATCTTCTCTGCAATTGCGTTATCATAGCTGCCCCTTTCTTTGAATCTCCTATCTAGGTGATGATCCGCTCACGGTTGACCATCATATCTCGGCAACTTGGCCGATCAGTCTGTACGTGTCGCACAGCTTTGTACCTGGAGGGACAGCTTCCTCAAACTCCATTGACGAAAACCAGGGCGAGGGTTCCAACCTTCTTTTCCTCCGGGCTGGGAATCATTTTTTTCACCGAGATGAGAGCTTCAATAGTGGATTCAGTAACTAGAAGCTCATACTTACTAGCCAAGAGTTAATGAAGAGGCAGTGAACACCCATGTTACCTTAGATTACCGGCAGAGACCCCTAGTTCTCACCTCGATCCCAAGATTGTTATATTTGTGGGTTTATTGTTGGGCATCAATCTCTAGAATGAGCATTCTAGCGGGGGTCTTTTCGCCATCGAGCACACCTCTGGCATCTTGCTTTATTAGCCCCGGCCTGGTTTCTTCTACGGGTCTCTTATCCGTGCTTCCACCCGCGGTCCGTCCTGCATAACAAGGCGGCTATCTCTAAAGATAACTTTGCATGGCAACAGAGTCCAGGGCTAGCATCAGTAGCACGATAAAGCTCCGGATGACTAAATGCGCCACCAAAGTCAAGTTGAAGGTACAAGCTTGAAGAATACGATGATAACGCACCCCTCTCCTGGTGGATGGTGTCGAGCTTCAAATGGTGGGTGGTTACTAAAGATGCGGCTCCGTCTGCTTAACCTAGACCCTCCTTCCTCTAAGTTTTTAGGGGGAGACATCAGGAAAAGCAGTTGGTTGCCTAATTCTGCCGCGCCGCACCCTCACCGCTTTAGGGCCACTATAAAAATTCAGCAAGCGCCGCACAATTTTTGGACTTTTTCTTCTTTCTTCTTTAGCTCTCTTTGCCTTTTGGCTTAGATCAAGTGTAGTATCTGTTCTTTTCAGTTTAATCTCTGAAAGGTCTCTAAGGAGACCAATCGTGATTATTCCTATTTTTGGTCTTAGGATGGTTTCCTCTGCGCTTGCGCACGATTCCGTCCACAGTGTCCCTGGTATTACACTGCCTCCAGGCGACGCGAACATCCTTTTTCATTGCTTGTGGCGGCTTGCCCGTCAAGGTGAAGAAGAAGACAGCAGACAATCAAATCGTAAAACCCCCATAGACAGTACCTAAGATGCGTGTGCGTGCGTCGTTTGAAACAAGTATACTGGTCACGACGCACCGATCGTAATTGTTGGCCTCCCAGAATCTCAACGCCTCATCTTTTGGTGTTCGCCCTCTATGTCGTTGGAATTAATGTCTGCAGCACAGCTTGGTATTGGATGGTGTTCCCCGGCCATCTGACGTAACTTTCACGTCTCTTGCTCAGTGCCGACCAGAGCAAGGATTTTTTTCGTGATGCTATCGTGTTGTCGCACAGCAACCACAAGGCAGGCCATCCAAAGGATCGGCCCAAGTATCGTTTTACCGTAGAAATAGAGAGCAAGCATCAATTTCTCTCGTGAAGAATGGGGATGAAATCAAGAGGCTCCTACTACGTTTATCGTCACCGAACTGAGCCACGCTTGAGATTGTGGTAAAAACAAGACGGATGATGATCGTAGTTTATAGGTTCGCGCGAAAGCGCTACTGTTTGCCAGTTCTTTTTTCACGCTACAGCGATTATGTCTGAACGGAATATTACCCCAATCCGTGTCTCGAGATGATTATTTCCCAGACTGATGTTCAAATCGCAAACTGAAGCTCTCCTCAGACTGGAGGCCTAGTATAGGGTAGGCCAGGTTTCGGTGGCTCGCGTTCGACACAGTAGGAGGTGGTCAAGAGCTTCCTACGCATTAAAATTCCCGGAGCTCATTGCCGCTAGATCTCCATTCTGCTCTAGCAATCACATACCTCTACTCTCTGTCGCTCTGCTGCTCTGACACTGGCCAGTAGTGGCACAAGATCACCGGCCCATAATGTCAGAAAATGGAAGCTCATGAGCAATCTTGAGATCGGATTTCGGATCGCCGATTGCCGACAAAGTTTGTTAACCCCTGGTGGTTGCAGCCATGCAACGTTTGATTGTCTCAATTGACTCTGCCGCTCCAGACGGATTTCCATTGCTACCTGTTGAGGGCAATTGACTCCTGAGCTTTCCAACCAAACCTCGGACCATCACTCCCCAACGCCGGTCGACAATGGCTCAAAACAATCGCATCATGCTCCCTGATAGGATCGTCCCCATGCGCGTCATCGTCTGCGGCGCCCAGCGAACAGGAACCCTCAGTAAGCTCCCCCTCTCCCATCCCCCCTGTTCCCTGAAGCAAAACTGACCAGCATCGCGACCAGGCGCGCGGCATGCGCTCTTCCGACTCGGCTTCTACGACTGCTACCACATGCACGACGTCCGCAACAACCCATTGACCGACGGGCCCCAATGGATCCGCGCTCTCCGCGCCAAGTTCGCCGGCGAGGGAGCCCCCTTCGAGAAGGAGGACTGGGACAGGCTCCTGGGCCGGTGCCAGGCTGTTGCTGACGTCCCCGCCGCCTTCTTCGGGCCTGAGCTTTCGGAGGCATACCCAGACGCCAAAGTGATCATCCTCAACCGCGACCCGGAGAAGTGGTACAACAGCGTCTTGGGCAGCATACACAGCGACCGCTCGCTGGGCTTTAAGCTCAAGATGATCTTCTGCCTCATCTTTACCCCGGAGGCGAGGGCGTGGGTCCGTTTCGGGATGATCATGGGCTCGACGTTCGGATTCAACATTCGTACTGAGAAGGACAAGGCGCTGGCCTGGTATGAAAAGACCTACGAGGAGTGGAGGGAGGGTATCCCGGAGGAGCGGCGTATTGAGTACTCTGTCGGTGATGGGTGGAAGCCTCTGTGTGATCATCTCGGGGTTCCTGTGCCCTTGGTGGAGGACCCGGAGAGTGGCGAGT